AGACGTGGTGGGCTTTCACTTTTGAGGACCTATTTGCATGCTGAGAGAGAGAGAGGCAAAGCGGAGGGGATGGGAAGCAAAGTCCCACAGATATGTCGTCTTCTCCATCAGTCATCACGTGGCAGCTGATGTTGAGACTGGACGAACTTCTTCCGATTCTTCCATTCTCCGGTCATGGTCATTCGTTGCTGCTTGCTTCATCATTTTAACCCCCTACACGGATTATTTTTATTTTGTGGTTAAACTCCAATCCCCTCGACATGCAAGCGACAGCGATGTTACATCTTTATTGTCTCATTACATCTGATCGAGTGGCTTGACGATAGGAATTCAGCTGCCAAACATGATTTGAATCGCGTTTGTTTACAACGGCCAGCGTCGACAACATTCGTTATCCCAGCTGGTCGTGGTGATTTTCTGGTGCTCGGCATGGCCAGATTTACGCCACATTGCCGAACACTTTTCCTCATCTAATTTTTTGGCAAAATCGCGCCAATGTTGGCATCGCCATCGGTGGAGCAATTTTCCCAAGGTAGTGTCATGTATTTCGGCCATTTTCTCAAGAATCCCATTGCCTACTGTACAGTGCCTGTCTTTCAAGCAGCGGGAGTCGTGTGTGTTGTTGTTGTTAAGGTCCTGGGGGAGGGGAAATCCCTCAGCCTGGAAAACAACATGGGACAAAGTGGGGATGAGCCTGCCGAGGCTGTGGTGCCTCAAATATTGGAAGAAGTCACCCCCTGTGAGTGGCTGGCTGAGGTGCCATCTGTTGTAGATGTACTGAAGGCGATCCGGAGTCTTGAGACCAGGAAAGGCACTGGGCAGAGATGATCTCCCAAGCGAAATGCTGAGGGAGGGTGGCGTTTGTGCACAGACTGCCCTACATGATATCATAACAACAGTCTGGACCACTGGACGGATTCCGCTGGATTGGAAGGATGCCCTGGTGGTCCCCCTCTTTAAGAAGGGGGAAAGCACAGACTGTAACAACTACAGGGGCATCTCACTCCTCAGTGTGCCGGGAAAGGTCCTGGCAAGGATTATTCAACATCGCCTTGCTAGGCATGCTGAGGAGAGGCTTGCGGAGCCCCAATGCAGTTTCAGGAAAGGGCGGTCCTACACAGATGCCATATTTTCTGTCCGTCTGCTACAGCAGAGGTGTAGGGAATTCTAACAAGACCTACATCTCTGCTTTATTGACCTGGTCAAGGCCTATGATACCATCAGTAGGCCTGGGCTGTGGGTTGTTCTTCGTGCTTTCGGAGTCCCTGACCCTCTGCTCACGATCATTACGGACCTTCATGATGGTGAGCGGGCCCGGGTAAAACTATGTGGCCAGGAGTCGGAGCCATTCCCTGTACACCTTGGGGTGCAACAGGGATGTCCTCTGGCTCCCACATTATTTAACATCTATTTTGACCACGTAGCTCGTGAAGCCCTCAATCGGTGTACTGGAGGAATTTCCATTTGGTACAGATACAATGGGAGGCTGACCAATGCCTGCGTGCAGTCAAGAGATGGCTCCCTATTGCTCAACCATGCTGAACCTGGCGCTTGCCACTAAGAGGTGGGGCCTTACCATCAGCCCCACCAAAACTAAGCACCTGCCTGGGTATTTTGTACCATCAGACACTCCACCCCCACAACTCCTAATTGGTGATAGGGCACTTTTGGAGAGAGTGGAGAGTTTCCCATACCTGGGCAGTGTGCTCATGACCGGCTTTGGTTTAACAGCAGAGGTCTCACTCCGAATCAGTCGAGCGGCATCTTTTAATCAGTAATGCTGTGTGGAAGATACCTGGTCTGTCGCTCCGCACAAAGCTTCAGGTCTTCTTGGCCACAGTCATTCCCTCCCGTCTCTATGCTTGCGAAACGTGGACCCCCCTAATGGAACATCTTCGCTGGTTAGAAACATTTAGGCTTGCCTGCCCACGATCCATCCTGGGTTTAACCAGGCTGGATTGTGTGAGGAGCTCACAAATTCTTGAAAGATCCGGACAAAGTGCCATCGGTGAGCTCCTCCGGCAGGCAAGGCTGCGTTGGCTGGGTCATGTAGCCCGCAAAGCCCAGCCACCGTATGCCTAAACAGCTTTTGTTTATCCAGATCGAGGGGGTTAAATGGGCGCGGCACGGGCTAGAGAAGAGATGGAGTGATGTGGTACAGGAGGATGTGGAGCGGAGTAGACTTGCCGATGACTGGTACCAGCGGTGTCAAGATCGGCCTCTGTGGAGGAGGCTCGTGAAGGACGCTACTGGGCAGTTTGAGGCAGTCGCCCTCCAACAACAACGGAGGGGGGAGGAGCGACGCTCACAACAACGAGCGGAGCGCCGGGTGGCTAAAGCACAGCAAGTTGGTACACTAGGGGGCACAGGTGGTGCATCGACCAGTCATCTCAGTCAGTCGACCCGTGGCACCTGGGTCTACCCTGTGACCTGCCTTCGGGCGTTGGACACTTCACGTGGCCTCAACGTGCACATAGCCTGGTACAAGCGTCGTGGTGACGTCATCGCCACTTAGTGGTGAATGGCGGTTGTTGTTTCTGCATGTGTGTTGGAGCGCCATTATAGCGGTTTGCGCACTGCGCTATGAACCCAGCTACCCGAGTTCCATTCCCGCTCAGGACCAACACCAGTAACGATTATCGGAATTGGTCCAGGGCCTCCCCTAGGTCGACTCAGCCTCAAATTAGTACCTGGTGCAGTGTGTAAACATTGACACTCGGGAGACAAAGGCGGCCGGGCGTGGTGCTGGCCACCCCACCCCCTCGTGTGCCGTGCCGGCCTTCATAGGTGCTCGCTAATAGCACTTACCCCAACAGTATGTTAAGGCTATACGGGGGATCTTTGTCTGTGGTGAGCGGCGACGCATTTGATTCCCCACTCACGGCCCACTAATATCTGAATCTATCCCGGACCTAGCTTAGGTCAATTCAGCTTTAAATAAGTACCTGGTGCAGTGTGTAAACTTCAGCACTGGGCAGACAAAGGCGGCCGGAAGTAGTACCGGCCACACCACCCCCTCGTTTACCATGCCAACCTTTATAGGTGCTCACTAACAGCCCCAGTCCCTACAGTCTGTATGGTTATGTGGTGGGATCTTGGTCTGTCAGTGTGTTATTTAGGGCCAGAGAAAAAGAGGGTGGAGTGGGGGGGTGCAGGCGGGATGGAAAATATAGCCCATGAGGGCCAACAGTAACCAGAGCCGCTGTATCGGCTTGCGGACCTCAACGCATCCTCCAAAATAACAGTGACCCTGGTTTTCCTGAATGTGTTTAATTGGTGCTCTGTAAAACACTTAGGCGCTGTTAACGGCCCGGTCTGCGCCCCGTTTATTTCCTTTGCCTTGTGTCGGGTTTTATATTTTAAACCGAGAACGGTTCGTTCCTTCTGCTCAGGAAATTGGACGATGGTCATGGTGCGCTGTTGCACACTTGACAGCGAAATTTGCCGAGTGGCCGCCGCATCCGATCACTTACCGCTCGCGTGGGGTCTGTTGAGACTGCGAGCGAAAGTGTGCAGCAAAGCGAGTTTGCTGATAAGCGTTTGAGCTTCGTGAGCGAGTCCATATAGTGAGTGAGTGAGTAAGTTGGTAATTGAGTGAGTGAGTCGGTGGGTGCGTGTGAGTGAATGATCGAGTGAGGGAGTGATCATTGGATGACTGGGTCAGTAAGTGAATCAGCGATTGAGTGGATGAAGAAGAGAGCGAGTGAGTAAATGGGTTAACAGTTGAGTGAGTGGATTGAGTAAGTGAATGAGTGAGTGGGTCCTCAAGGGAGCATTTGAGTTCGTGATTCAGTGAACCAGGGAGTGAGTGTCTGAGTGATTGAGTGGGTGAATGTTTGGGTGAGCAAGCAGTTAACTGGAACGTGTGGTTGACCGGGTGAGCACAAGAGTGATTAAACAGATGGCGCATTCACGCACGGTAACGGCGAGGACATGCCATCCGCATCGCGGCACCTCGGTGCTTGGTACCACATTTCCAGGTGTTCCGGCGTCGGCGCAGGCATCTCCACTCTCCCGTGAGGCCATGTGTGACGTTGAAGCGGTGTGAGAAATTCGTTGGTCTCTTGGATTAAAAAAAACCCCACTTTGCTCATGTCAATATTTACACACGACCAAGTATTTTATGACTGCCCGTGCGTATCTTTTATGACTGCCCGTGCATGTACTTGTTGCTGCGAGCGATGCACCGCGGTTTTTCTTATAAGGCTCTGCACCCACAGAGACACGAGTTTCAGTCCAACGGCCCAAGGTCAACTCGGCATAACTTGAGCACTTTGGGAAGATCGCAAACAAATAGAAGCTCCGGGCAGCAGATAAAAGCAGTCGCGCTTGCATGTGTGTGGTGACGGTGGTGATTGTGGTGGGGTCTGGTGGCAACCCTACTGCCCGGTTGTTGTGCTACACTCTCCACGAGTGTCCCGTTGGTCGTGACTAGATGTGGTGGTTGCTAAGTGTGCTTGTGTTATACGCTGGTCGGGTACAAGGTCGCTGCAAACACATTTATTTTAAACAACTAGAAACCTACAAAGGGGGCAAGGTGAAGTAGCTTCGGTTATGGGTTAGAGACAGAGATAGGGCTGGTTAGTGCGGTTAGGGTCAGCGCTATTAAATATAGAGCTAGGGCTCCTGTCCTATCTGTATTTGTGGAAACGAATGTGTCTGCATGTGCACGAGCTTGCAAGTTTGTACCTTGCGTCTGTGCGTTCATGGTGGCACAGTGGGGAAAACAAGCTGCACCTGCCAGTCATCTCGGTCAACCCATAACACTTTGGTCTTTCCTGTGACCTGCCAGCAGCGAACCTTCCACACTACACATGGCCTCAAAAGTGCATCCAGCCTGGCACAAGCGCCATGGTGACGTCACCGCCACTTAGTGTCAAATGGCGGCTGTTGTGTGCGCATATGCTTATGCGTACACGTCTGTGCGTGCGCGCATGTGCTGTGCTTACACCTGTGTGCGTGTGCTTACACGTGTGCTTCTGCGTGTGCCGCACCACCAGCAGCAGCCCGCGCCGCTGCCATCACCGCAGCCGCCGCCGGTGCCGCCACCATGCTGCGCCTGCGCTGCAAGAGCAAGAGCGGCACGCACGCCGTGGCGGGCCTGTCGGAGCGCTCGAGCCTCCGTGAGCTCCAGGCGCGACTCTCCGAGGCCACGGGCATCGCGCCTGCCGCTCAGCGCATCATGGCCGGCTTCCCACCCTGCGACCTCGACTTGGCCAGGGCAGACGCCTCGCTCAGCGAGCTGCACGTCAAGTCCGGTAGGCGAGGAGAGTGTGACCGGCGGGGGCGGCTGGCAGCGGGCGGCGCGCCACCGCCTTTGTATAAGTTGTTTGGCCGCTCGCAGCCGAAAGGTTGCGAGTTCAGATCCTGGTTGGGGGTTGACTCGGCCCATCATCTCTCTGCGGTCGATAAAATAGGTTTACATCAACAGGGTGTGCGATGGAATGACTTGCCACCACCATAGCAATGAGGAATTTCCACCGTTGGCTCTGCAGGGTCCTTAACAGGAGCTGAGCAATCTTGATTCGAAGCTTTCGTGACTGCAGGAATCCATACTCTTTGGTTCTTTCGGTAAAGTCACGTAGATAGAAAAATAATAGATCACGACGTTTCGATCGCATCACAAGCAATCGTCATCAGGTGGGACAACCTACTTCAGCATTTTTTTTCTTGCTGTGGTTGTCCCACCTGATGACGATTGCTTGTGATGCGATCGAAACGTCGTGATCTATTATTTTTCTATCTACGTGACTTTACCGAAAGAACCAGAAAGTAAGGAGCTGAGCACCAATACCCTAAGAGCTCACTTGAGCTGGCAGTCACTCTGGCTTGTGACTTGACTGAGCTGAGACGATGGAGCTATTAACTCGATCGGTCGACTTGTTTTGCGATCGACCAATTTGTCTGTGGTCGACGCGTACAAGCGACTGGTGTGGGCGGCACCACCACCATTCACAAATTTGGAGGGCGGCGCTACCTAGGACAACGAGTTAAAGGGGGGCTAACCGACTCTGCAGTGAGTCCGGTGCAAGCGATGGCTTGTGTTGTGTGGAGGAGCTGTAGGCGATGGGACAGGACACGAGGCTGCTTATCCATGTGTTGCTCTTTACATCTCCATGCTTCTTTGCACACTTTTTCTTTGCTTTCGTTCTATTTCCTTTATCACTATCTATGTTTCCGATCCTCAGGTCATAGCAGGAAATACAGTGGACTGGTTAAAATAATCAAAGTTCACAACGAAGTGCCTAAACAAAATAAAGTGCTTAATCAGGGAACGTGTTACTTCTTTTAGATAGTTGTACACTTGTGCATGAGAGTTATGTTTCAGTGGGAGAGGGCTGATTGACAGCGTAGTGTGTTGGGATCCGCACAGCCCATGTGTGTCCTTGCATTAAGCAAGTAAACGTAGCCGCGCACAGCATAGGAAGCCTGTGCTATAGAAGGGACTCGCGCGCCCTCCTGTGTTGGGTTGGGGAATTGGAGTGCAAAGGGATCTTATAAACAATGCAGGTGATAATTCACCAGTTGTCATGAGAACCGTTTTACGCAATCAGCGTTGCTGCCACAGATCTCGGCCATAATTGCCGCGCCGCTCGTTATTAGCGTCGCCGCTGGCGTGCTGCGTCGCCGCGCACCGTCGACGCCGTGAACGCGCCGCCGCTCATCGCCGCAACCTCCATCCAGGGGACACGCTTATTGTGGAGGAGGACACGGCGAGACGCAAGACGGCCACCCGCCCCAACGGCCTCCCGAGCCCCCGCGTGACCGCCGCCCCCGCCGAGCGCCGCCGCTCGCCGCCGCCCGGAGGCCCCGCGGGTCGGCCCGCAAGCCCGGCCGCTCGCCCCGTTGCCCGCCCGCCGCCTGCCCAGCGGCCGTCGCCACCGTCGCCACCTTCGCCACCGCCGGCCCTGCCGATGCGGCTCAGTCGGCACGTGGTTCCCGCCGACAACTCGTGCCTCTTCACGAGCGTGAGTTACGCGCTTGACGGGCCGGTGGCGGCGGCGGCGCCGGCGGCGGCGGCGACCGCGGCCGGGCGGGCACGCGAGCTGCGCCGTCTGATCGCGAGCGTCGTGGCCGGTGAGCCCGACACGTACTCGGAGGCGCTGCTCGGGAAGCCCAACGCCGAGTACTGCCGCTGGATCGAGCAGGAGGACACCTGGGGAGGCGCCATCGAGCTCTCCATCCTCGCCAGGTGAGGAGCAGCGTCGCGCCGGCACGGGGGGGGGGGCTCGCTTGTTCCATCGCATCTCTTGTCGTCTCGTTTGAGCTGCTTCGTTTGTGCTGCTGGTGCTGCCTGTCTCGTTTGTTCGCCGTCATTCTGACCGTTAGCCGTAACGGAAAAAAATGGGCCTAAAAAGTGCATGAATGGAAGCTAATAGCTCTATGCATTCAGTGTGAGATGTGTGCATCATGAGTATACAGATCAGTTTTAATCAGGGACTGATTGGCTGACAGAACACACGTGACGGTGCCTATGAACTACTCGATGCACACGGTGCAAACACAACCATACATATAGAAATGACGATCAGATGAGAGGCCATGCAAAACGATACCATTCTCAAACCGAATTATGACCCCGAATCGCAACGACTTGTTACACTACCGAGTGAGTGAATCGCTCCAGATATGTTCCTCACAGTTGCCGCCACCTTGTGTCTCCCCTCCCGCCCGCTCTCTCCCGACACCCCCCCGCAGGTTCTACGAGTGCGAGATCTGCGTCGCCGACACGCAGACTCTACGCGTCGACCGCTTTGGCGAGGGCTCTGGCTACGCACGCCGCGCACTCCTCATCTACGACGGCATACACTACGACCCACTGGAGCTGTCTCCCGTCGACGGTGCTCCCCACCGCCCCCCACGGACGCTCTTCCCCACGACCGACGATGTGCCACTTGCGCAGGCCCAGGAGCTGGCCGAGGAAGCGCGGCGGCGCCGGCAGTTCACCGACCTGACGCGCTTCGCACTGCGCTGCCTCGCCTGCCAGAAGGGGCTGACGGGCCAGCGCGAGGCTCAGCGCCACGCTGAGGAGACCGGGCACCTCAACTTCGGCGAGGTGTAGGGCCCATCTGCCGCGTAAACCAGCCCGCCAGCTAACCAGCTAGCCCTCCAGTTAGCCCGCCAGTTAGCCAGGCAGCTCACCCGTGCCTGTGCATGCTCGCCTGCCTCCCCACCCCCGCGCTTATTCGAAAGGACGAGGGCGCTGCCGCATTGCGATTGCGGCCCTGCATCCCAGCCTGGGGTTTGCTCCTGAGCAATGAAATGCGTGTGTTCTGGTGCTTTTGGAGATCTCACGACCCTGGGATTTAGGGTTTGCTGAGGCGGTTACGGCCGTGGCTGATGTCTTCAGAACGGTGTGAGAGGCAGCGAGGAGCGCGACTGATGGCAGCGATGGCGACGTTGCTGGGGGAGAGGAGGGTGGAGTTGCCGATTGTGACGGTACAATCGGCAACTCCACGATTGCCGTGTTGCGCCGTGCCCTGCTGTTCCCTCGCCTCCGTTTGTTGCGATCAATTCTTGACTTTGTCCCAATTTCAGCTTTGGCTTTTTAAAAACTTTTTGTTCAGGCGTGTGCTTGGTGTGAATCGGATTACATTTGTCACAAAGAGTTGTAAGAGTTGGACAAAAACCATGGAGGACCTAGCATTAAAGAAATCAGGTGCGCGTCACCGTGTGTAAGTGCTCGAAATCAGGTGCAGCTTGAATGTGGACGGGTAAATTATATTCAGGTACATTTCACCCAAAGTAAACATTTACAGCAGACGAAACACCGGTGCCCACAGCACAGTTTCCCGTTCGTCCATCGCGGTCTCCCTTCAGCAGCATCCAAGCCGGATCCCGCGCCGGCAATATGAGTGTGAGGTCTGAAGTGGTCTGGAGGTCGCACGCTCATCTATTTGGTCACAGAGACCATCGCTTTTCACGTGACAGCACCGGCCTGGATGATGCAGCCCTGACTTTTGAGGACCGCAGGAAGAGCTTTGGAAGACCGGGTCAACGCAGCCAGCGTCTTGGCCACGTCGGCTCTCCGTGGCTGATAGCGAAACACCCTCAGTTGGGGCGAACGTCAATTCAATCAAGCAGTCAATTGACTGTATTCAAAACCGGGTGATGGCCCGTTGAGACGAATGGGAGACCTGTGCTGCCGCGAGTCCGTTTCTTCGGAACCGCTCGTGAAAGTCGCACGTGCGACCGTGGTCCGACCTGCAGCCCAAGAAACCCGTGCTGGAGTGAGGCTGGCGGCGGCAGGAACATCAGTGTCCAGTTCGGTGGCACCAGCTGCAGGATCTCGGATACCACTTGGCTGCCTCTCGCTTCGTTGCAAATTACACAACCCCCCCCCTGCCTTAATCACGTGTCAGACACCAACACCAAAGGTGTGTCAGTATTGCCTCTCTCGGTGCCCCCCCCCCCATCCCCACACTCATTTTGCTCGTCATTCGCGTTATTGTGCAGTTGTCGCAGTATTTCTCGTAGCGCGACCAATCGCGTCTGTCTGAAACATGCGTCGGGTTGGCGTGTCGGCGAGGCTGTCAGCGCCAACGGGTTGGCCCCGAGCAAGTGGGGAGCGTGCTGGTGTGCAGCGTAGCAGCACCAGCCAGTTGGAGACGAGCCATAACCTTACACCCTTTGACAACACTTGCCAGCCAGACATGAAATATAACCCCATGCAATTAGCCGATAGGATTCTTACTATAACCACTATATACCTGCATATAAGGACTTGAATATACTTGTATACCTGTCCCTAACCTTAACATTGGTACAGTTCCAGAGGTGAGGTGCTAGGTTAAGCTACTTAGGATTAGAGGTTTGATTCGTTTTTGGTCGGTTGGTGTGGTGAAGTGTCATGCTAGGATCTGGTTGTCGATCTTTCTAGGTTTAAGGATAGAATCGCGGGATGGCTGTTCTGGTTAGACTTAGTATTAGTGTCTGGTAGGGTAGTACATTTATGGTGACGGCTACAGTGCTAGGATCTATTTGTCTAGGTTGTTAGGATTAGGGCGAGATGGCGAGTGTGGTTAGGGGTCGCACTTGCATCTGGTTGGCTAGTTTGCTACACCCCTATCAGTTTGCCCCCCCCCCCTTCATTGTCAATCGTGGCCTTGTCACTCTTTGGTCACTTTTACATCCTACGCACTGATCCGCGCGTTGTTGGCGAACGTTTCTTTTCGTCCGAAATTTGGTTATCTTTTACCCAACGTCTCCAATCGGCCAAACTTCGGGTCAAATCGCCCTGGCGGTGATACATTTCCGGTCGTGCCGTCAGACGCGAACCTGGACCCCATGGCGTTCACAGCGTCGTCGACAGCGGAATGAATTTTAAATGTATCCGCTCAGGATGTCGGGAGTCTGTGCTCCCTCCCGCGCTGTTGTTGAACGCGCCGCGTCGCCGCTCGTTATACCTCACCCGGGGCTGGAGTCCGGGCTCATGCAGCGCTGTGTGCATGTGTGTTTTTACAATGTGCACCCACAAAAAAATAATGCACCTCTGCTGGCACGTAAACGTCACGTGACGTCATCAGCCGTGCCTGTTTTTTTCGTGCGAGTTATTTTCAGAGAGTCTCTTTCCTCAGTTGTATTCGACTTGTGCCATTGGCATCACATCATGAGACGATGCATCGATTCAGATACGTTGATTTGTTAACAAAATTTTAACTGTGGAAAATTATAATAAAGTGATTTTTAACTTGGAGCAGCGTCATCATGTTAACTCAAGCAAACATTTTAATCCTCGATATATATTTTAGAAAGTAAGATGTACCGGTGCCGCTTTTGCATGCTATCCGGTCCCTCCATTCCCGGAGTGAGAGCTGTGTCCGTATTCTTGGCGTTAAATCAAAGTCGCTCACTGTGGGTGTTGGACTCCGCCAAGGGTGCGTCTTGTCTCCACTCCTGTTTGTGATTTTCACGGACAGGATATCAAGGCGCAGCCGAGGTATGGAGAGTGTCCAGTACGGGGGGGGGGGTATGGAGATGGCATCGCCGCTTTTTGCAGATGACGTCCTCTTTTCCTCATCAGTCTGTGATCTCCAGCGTGCACTTGAATGGTTTGATGCCGAGTGTGAAGCGGCTAGGGTGAGGATTGGCACTTCCAAATCTGAGGTCATGGTTCACTCCCGGGAGACGCTGGATTGTGCTCTCCAAGTGAGGGGGAAAAAGCTGTCCTGAGTGGAGGAGTTTAGGTCTCTTTTGTGAGTGATGGTAAGTGGGAGCGTGAGATCGGCCAGCGGATCGGTGTGGCATCTGCAGTGTTGCGGGCGCTGTACCGTTCCGTGGTATAGTGAAGCGGGAAGCTGAGTTCTCGAACAAAGCTCTCGGTTTATAGGTTGATCTACGTTCAAACATTAACCTATGGTCATGAGCTTTGGGCAATGACCAAGAGGATGAGATCGCGTGGATACAAGGGGCCGAAATGAGGTTTCTCCGCAGGGTTTCCGGGCTAACTCTCCGTGATTGGGTGAGGAGCTCTGTAATCGAGGAGAGCCTCAAGAGTCGAGTTGCAGTTACTCCGGATCGAGAGGAGCCAGTTGAGGTAGTTCGGGCCACTTGTAATAATGCCCCCTGGTAGACTCCTTTTGGAACTCTGCCGGGCACCTCCTACTGAGTGAACACCCCGGGACCGGCCCAGGACACGCTGGCGGGACTGTTGCTCGGCTGGCCTGGGAATTCCCAAGTAATGAGCTGGATTCCGTCGCAGGGAAAGGGAGGTCTGGACCGCCTTACTCAACATGCTTGCTGCTGTGACCGTCACCAGGACAAGAGGATCGAGAAACGAACGAAGAAAGTGAGATCGCAGTCACGTTGTGGGGCTACGGGCATGGGGGAGTGAGCAGGAGAGGGACATCCCACGGAACCGTGTGGGTGGTGCAGTGTTGGTACAAACAAAGAGCCAGTGGACAGGGCCTTCCCCAGGAATGGTTTCTCACGGCTCGGGTGTACTTTCATGGCCGTGGGAAAGTAGCGCTTTGCACGCCCGCTTCACCCGGACTCGAACTTCGTTTTTTTGCAACTTCGTCGGCCACCAAGGGGGAGTTCCACTCTTCCTTAGTTTACAACAAGCATGGTTTACACTCGGCTGTGCGTCTGTTCTTAGCTTTACAAACGTTTTTTTACATTTCTGATTTGTTTAGCATATTTAAACTACACCCGTGTTGCTGTATTTGAATAAATAAAGATTGACTTTGCTTACGCTGATTCCTTGGCCCACGAGGCACCGTCCCTTGATTGGTTACTGTATTCTCTAGATTATAAGATGCTCCGGAAAGTAAGACGCACCCCAAACTTGTGCCAGGTGTCAGAGTTTTATAAATCTCGTCGCACAGTCGCACACCTTCCTGAAGATAACACGCCCCCCCCTCCCAACTTTTGATTCAAAATGCAAAGGGAAGAAAGTGTGTCTTCTCATCTAGACCATGTGGTAATAGTTTTGATTTTCGTGACTGCAGGGATTAATATTCTTGGTGCTTTCGGTAAAGTCACGTAGAAGGGAAACAATAAAATAATAAAAATATAAAATAAAATTCTCACGACGTTTCGACTGCAACACAAGCAATCATCATCAGGTGTGAAAACCACAGCAAGAAAATTTGAAAAAAGTGGCGGTTTTTTTTAACGTTAGCACCACGGAGAGCGATTTGGCAGTTTGTTCAGATGGACGAGTCCATCTATGTTCGGAAAAGAGGAGGGGAGAGAAGAAAATAATGGATGCGGTCTGAAAGCCACCGTAAGCGTGAACAATCAAGACCCAAAATGGTTTATCAAGAAGATGGATTCTGCAACACAAGCAATCATCACACCTGATGATGATTGCTTGTGTTGCAGTCGAAGCGTCGTGAGAATTTAATTGTTTTATATTTTTATTATTTAATTGTTTCCCTTCTACGAGACTTTACCGAAAGAACCAAGAATATAAGTTTGTTAATAAGACAATGGCGTTAGTTTTTGGAGATCCGTGGGCCGCACTGAAAGCTTTGTTTCGATTTAAAATGCATTCATGGGACGGAGAATATTGCCACCGAGGTCGTGGAACTGTCGTGGGCTTACTGACGGTACATGCATGATTCGTGAATTAGTTTGCCATAGCTACAAGGGTCCCATGACAAAACCACCTGGAATGCACCCCATCTCATCCAATAATGTTAATAATTTCAACCTGCAACGTGTTACCAACTCACTGTATTCGCTTTTCGAGAGAACTCGGAGGCGAGGAACCACAGACAAGCAACAAAGTCTGCAGCCATGAGGTGAGCAGGCACGATCAATAATTGACAGCTCTACGGTCCTCTATATACGAAGGTGTTATCGGCCAATTAAAGAGGTTGACATGGGAGGAAACAAGCATCCGGAGAAACTCCATGCATCCGAGGGGACAACTCTTATCCCATACAGATGGAACAAGTAGGGCTCCACATTTGCCAGGGTATATGTACCTCCTTGACGCCGACGAGAAGAGAGTTTCACGACGTTTGTACGAGCCATCAACTCTCGCTGCCTCCACAGTGCTGGGTTACAGGTGGAGTGTGTAGCCACCACCGCTTGGCTAGAGCTCGGAAGCTAAGCAGGTTTGAGCCTGGGTGGAACCTGGATGGGCGACCACCACACAGGTTGGCATAGTAGGGCTGACGCCCACGTCTATATTTAGGTTCCCTGCCTTCAACCCGTACCGACCAGCGCTGGGATTTATGGCCAAATAACCCCCACGCACATGGACGGGCTCAGGGGAGGCCTTCACCCTGCAAGGGATTGACAAAAAAGGGCAGCGTGTTTGGTGCGGGCGGTGGCGTGCGACCTCACGGTAGCCCGCTCTAAACTGGTCACAGAGGCTCGTGGTTCGATTTCAGCGGGCGCCCTGGTCAATACTGCGGTCGTGTGTATCAACCATAACACATACTACCACGCGCTGTCTGCTTCACTCGCAGTGGACGTTAAAGATCTCGTGACGTCAATCGCAAGAGTTGGACATTTTTGTGGTGGCGTTATGGTCCAAATTGGAAAAAAATTACAACGCAAATTACTCGGTTGGAATGATACACGGAAAACGTCGCACCCTCTACGTGGGTTTCCTCCGGGTTCTTTGCTACCATAGCCCAACACAAAAACTTACTGTAACCGATATTGGCCAAAACGTTAGAAATGTGTACATAACTCGAGTAACGTCGCGCCCTCCTTCGGAATCTTAGCAGGAATGTCTTTAAAAAGAGTTACGAGACTGTGAGGCTCTCCTTGGTAAAAAAAAATCTTGACTTAAAGCTTTCGTGACTGCAGGAATTCATATTCTTGGGTCTTTTGGTAAAGCCACGTAGATAGATAAAATAAAAAATAACAATATCACGACGTATTCTTGGTTCTTTATTTTATTGTTTCCATTCTACGTGACTTTACCGAAAGAACCAAGAATATGAATCCCTGCAGTCACGAAAGCTTTAAATCAAAAATATCACAACGTTTCGATCGCAACACAAGCAATCGCCATCAGGTGAGAAATATCGCGGGAGAGCAGCCATATATTCTCAGCAGCTCTCCCGCGATATTTCTCACCTGATGACGATTGCTTGTGTTGCGATCGAAACGTCGTGATATTTTTTTGTATTTGATCTATCTACGTGGCTTTACCGAAAGACCCAAGAATATGATGTGTTGAGTTTACGGGGCTTCGCGTGAGACGTGGCACGACCGCCTCTAGAGGGCGCTGCGAACATGGACTCAACCACCGTCATCAACATTCAGCATCACCACCATCGTTATTAGGGCTGAACGATATGGGGAAAATATCTAATTGCGATTTTTCTGAGAGATATTGCGATTTGATTTGCGATAAAAAAAATGTAAGTCAAGCTTCAGCTCAATATTCACTGTGTAATAGATTTAAAACATGTGATGGAGCATTTCCACATGATACCATCAACATATTAACTGCTCCATATATTCTAATGCAAGGATTATAACTTAAAATATATTAATTAGTTCCAACATGTATTTATTAAAATGGTTTAATTGAAATAGAACAATAAAACATAGAACAATTGTTAAGTTAAATAAATAAAGTTATAGCACAAAATAAAACAATTCCTAAAAAAAAGTTATAAGTAATAGCAAATCGCAGCCTTTGCGATTTGCTAATCGCATTGTTTCAAATTGCAATTTCGATTTGAAATCGATTAATCGTTCAGCCCTAATCGTTATCATTATCGTGTCACCATCACCCTATCACTATCATCACCGTGTCAACTTAATCACCGTGTCATCATCAACTTGTGGCCATCATCATCACCGTGTCAACCTCATCACCGTATCATAATGGTCGTGTCTTCATCATCACCGTACCATCATCACCGTGTCATCATCACCGTACCATCATCACCGTGTCATCACGTAGTCAGCACCCTATCATCACCGTGTTATCATCGACCTGTCGTTATCATCATCATCATCATCACTGTGTCACCATCACCATGTCCATCACTTTCAACATCCCCGCCATCTATCTGCGTAATCATCAGAAGGTTTTTGGCGCACTGAACCCGGCCACCTGAGTTCAATTCCCACCCGCCACGGATAACATCAGTGGCGCAGTTATAGTACCTGAACCGCTCCTGATCTTCCGCTCAACTATTCACCAGCTCACACTGACCAACGTGGTGAAGTATGGTCAAACAACCCCCCCCCTCCCCGTGTGTACGCGTTGCGGGTGTGCACTGGGCCGCCCCGAGGTGCCACGTGTAAACATCGTCACACGGGAGACAAAGGCGGCCGGGCGTGGCGCTGGCCAACCACCCCCTTGTGACGGCCTTCACAGGTGCTGCTCGCCAACAGCCACTTGCCCCGACAGCCTGTCAAGGCTACCCGGGGGACCTTTGTCTTCTAGCGGGGACTGTACTGGTGGCAGCTGTTTACAGGAGGAGACACGGCTCATGTGCTCACCCGGGAGGACAACGCGTTACCTGGGAGAGGGGGGGAGGGAGGGGGGGCAGGGGGAGGGAGGGGGGCAGAGGGGGGCAGAGGGAGGGGGGCAGGGGGAGGGGGGCAGGAGAAGGGAGGGGGGCAGAGGGAGGGGGGCAGGGGGACAGGGGGAGGGAGGGGGGCAGGGGAAGGGAGGGGGGGCAGAGGGAGGGGGCAGGGGGAGGGGGACAGGGGGAGGGAGGGGGGCATGGGAAGGGAGGGGGTGGCAGGGGAAGGGAGGGGGGGCAGAGGGAGGGGGGACAGGGGGAGGGAGGGGGGACAGGGGGAGGGAGGGGGGCAGGGGGGGGTGTGGGTGTAGGTGAGGTGCAATGCTGTTGTGGGTGAGCAAGGGGGTGGTGCGGTTGAGGTGCCGGTGTGTGATAGCTGGGTAGAGGGTGCGCGTTGGGTGAGGATGAGAGGAAGATGGTGTGGGTGAGGGGAGGGTGCGTGAGGTGTGGGTGAGCGGAGGAGATATTGTCGGTGAGTTACGGGCGAATAGAGGTTGTGGGTGAGTAGAGGGTGGAAGTGATGTGTGGGTGAGGATAAGAAGGTGTTACACAGTCTATGTTGGTCGTGTGCGCTTGAGGATGCTGGTGAGTTAGGAGGGTGTGGGAGGTGGGTAAGGGGTAGGCGAGGTTTGGGTGAGGCTAGTGAGGAGGGTTTTGTGGGTGGGTGAGCAGTGTGCAGCAGCAGCAGTCGGTGTCGATGGAGCTGTGCGGATCCCAGCATCAACAGCCGACAGCTTTATCCGCCCTCCCCACGCTCATCATCACCACCACCACCATCAACCACCCTTCCTCCACACACACACACGGGTAAAGCGCCGGGCCATGTGCGCTCCGCATCTCTACTCCGCAGTCCCCTAGATTGCTCCACACAGGGGTCTTCGGAGCGACGGGGGTACCTGGGACCCCCCCCCCACCACCAAGAGCTATCCCCTTGTTCAACACAGACACGCGCACAGGGACGAACAGAGGTGAACACGCAGCCATGCGCGTCGGGACGCACAGCAGATACACACAACGCTTAGAGAGAGACATACACACGCATTCAGAGAGCAACTCACGAACACAGATACACACAACGCTTAGAGAGAGAGACACACACGAACACAGATACACACAACGCTTAGAGAGAGAGAGACACACACACGCATTCAGAGAGCGACTCACGCACAGCAGATACACACAACGCTTAGAGAGAGAGACACACACACACGCATTCAGAGAGCGACTCACGAACACAGATACACACACACACTTAGATTCATTCATATACACAGGGACATAAACACACAGACAAACTTTAATACACACAGCCATGCGCGTCGGGACGCACAGCAGATGTACACAACGCTTGTACAGAGAGAGACACAGACGGAGAGCGACTCACGGACACAGACACACACAGGGACATAAACATACACAGACAAACTTTAATACGCATAATCTCTCACACGGATGCAAATACATAGACAAAGACGAACATGCACACGCGCTACTACTCTCATCTTAGCCATACACCTCGCGACTCACATCCCTCCCATCCATAACTCTCTCCCTCTCCTCCCTCCCTCCCACCTCTATCATACCGAACTCTCATCCCTCCAAACTCTCACTCCCGCCTCACATTCCTCCCATCCCTAGCCGCCTGCCATCCCACCCTCGCTCACATCCCTAGCTCCCGTCCACCCCCTCCCTCCACAACTCCACCCTCTCTCTCATCCCTAGCTCTCGTCCACCCCCTGCCTCCACAACTCCACCCTCTCTCTCATCCCTAGCTCCCGTCCACCCCCTCCCTCCACAACTCCACCCTCTCTCTCATCCCTAGCTCCCGTCCACCCCCTGCCTCCACAACTCCACCCTCCCTCTCATCCCTAGCTCCCGTCCACCCCTCCCTCCACAACTCCACCCTCCCTCTCATCCCTAGCTCCCGTCCACCCCCTCCCTCCACAACTCCACCCTCCCTCTCATCCCTAGCTCCCGTCCACCCCCTCCCTCCACAACTCCACCCTCCCTCTTATCCCTAGCTCCCGTCCACCCCCTCCCTCCACAACTCCACCCTCTCTCTCATCCCTAGCTCCCGTCCACCCCCTCCCTCCACAACTCCACCCTCCCTCTCATCCCTAGCTCCCGTCCACCCCCTCCCTCCACAACTCCACCCTCCCTCTCATCCCTAGCTCCCGTCCACCCCCTCCCTCCACAACTCCACCCTCCCTCTCATCCCTAGCTCCCGTCCACCCCTCCCTCCACAACTCCACCCTCTCTCTCATCCCTAGCTCCCGTCCACCCCTCCCTCCACAACTCCACCCTCCCTCTCATCCCTAGCTCCCGTCCACCCCCTCCCTCCACAACTCCACCCTCCCTCTCATCCCTAGCTCCCGTCCACCCCCTCCCTCCACAACTCCACCCACCCTCTCACCACTCGCTCCTTTCCGTCCCTTATATCCATAACTCCCATCCCCACGCTCCCTTCTATCCATCCCATCCCCTCTCCCATCCCCTCTCCCATCCCCTCGCTCCCCGCCTCTCCTCCACTGACACCGGACTCATGGAGAAGAGCGGCGGGGAGTGCGACCATCTCTCGGCGGACGAGCGGTCAGACTCTGGAGGAGGTGGAGGAGGAGGAGGTGGAGGAGGAGGAGGAAACAGCCCCGGGTCCTGGCAGAGTTGCTCCTCGAGCGGGGTAGCAGCCCTCGGCTTGGGGAGCCCAAGTTCGACTCCCCTGTGCGTTTTATACGGCACCGCAGGACAGAGATACAATGCGACCATGCTCCAGGCGGGGTACGAGAGAGAGAGGTACGGCGAGAGGGAGGCGGACTTGTGTGTTTGGCCGAACTGTGCGGTCCGAGTGTTTACCTTGTAGGGTTATACACGCCGGCGGGATGAGAGAGTTTTTGTTGTTGTTGTTAAAAGCGAGAGCGTTTGATCAAAATGGGTGCCTACCTCTGGGTGTTGAGTGGGTGTGAGTGCGAGCGATTAGAGATTCATAGATCGGTGTGAGATGCAGAGCGAACCGGTGTGTTCCTACCTGTGTGGTCAAAGTTGTATGAGCGGGATAGGTTAGGAGACGGGTAAGGGAAGCGAACTTGTGTTTGCCTACCTATACGGTATGAGTGTAATGTCTACCGTTTGTATGTTACCGGGTAGGGTACCAGATGAATGTGAGCGAATCTGCGTGTTCATAACTGTGCCTACCTGTGCGGTCATAATCACTGTCTGTGCAGATACTATGATAGACGTCTGCCGAGGAAAAAATCTCTACCTATTGTTTGCCTACCATTGTCATTCATGTAGCTACCTGTGAGTTCGCCTGCTCAGTCATACCTGTTCACCGGTGTCTTCTCAGCTGTATAAGTCTGCATGCACATCGATGTATTTTCTCACCCGGTCTACCAGTCTCTTCGTCGTTTTACCGGTATATCTCACCTGTGTATCTCACCTGTATATCTCACCTGTATATCTCACCTGTATATCTCACCTGTATATCTCACCTGTATATCTCACCTGTATATCTCACCTGTATATCTCACCTGTATATACTGCCATCTGATATCTGTGGGAAAAAAAATTCATAGCTCATTGGATTCTTGCAATCTAAAAAGAAAGATTCACGATATGCCTATGTGTATATTTTGTGAATAATGTACCTGCTAATGTGTGTGCCTGCTAATGTGTGTGCCTGCCCTTCTTTGTTTGGTCACCTGAATGTGTTGTACCCGTGTCTGTCTGCGTGTCTCCTCACCTGTGTCTCTGTCTGCGTGTCTCCTCACCTGTGTCTCTGTCTGCGTGTCTCCTCACCTGTCTCTGTCTACGTGTCTCCTCACCTGTGTCTCTGTCTACGTGTCTCCTCACCTGTGTCTCTGTGTATCCTCACCTGTGTCTCTGTCTGCGTGTCTCCTCACCTGTGTCTCTCTCTACGTGTCTCCTCACCTGTGTCTCTGTCTGCGTGTCTCCTCACCTGTGCCTCTGTCTACGTGTCTCCTCACCTGTGTCTCTCTCTGCGTGTCTCCTCATCTGCGTCTCTGTCTGCGTGTCTCCTCACCTGTGTCTCTGTCTACGTGTCTCCTCATCTGTGTCTCTGTCTACGTGTCTCCTCACCTGTGTCTCTCTCTACGTGTCTCCTCACCTGTGTCTCTGTCTACGTGTCTCCTCACCTGTGTCTCTGTCTACGTGTCTCCTCACCTGTGTCTCTTTCTGCGTGTCTCCTCACCTGTGTCTCTGTCTACGTGTCTCCTCACCTGTGTCTCTGTCTACGTGTCTCCTCACCTGTGTGTCTCTCTACGTGTCTCCTCACCTGTGTCTCTCTCTACGTGTCTCCTCACCTGTGTCTCTCTACGTGTCTCCTCACCTGTGTCTCTCTCTACGTGTCTCCTCACCTGTGTCTCTCTCTACGTGTCTCCTCACCTGTGTCTCTGTCTACGTGTCTCCTCACCTGTGTCTCTGTCTACGTGTCTCCTCACCTGTGTGTCTCTCTACGTGTCTCCTCACCTGTGTCTCTCTCTACGTGTCTCCTCACCTGTGTCTCTCTCTACGTGTCTCCTCACCTGTGTCTCTCTCTGCGTGTCTCCTCACCTGTGTCTCTGTCTCTGTGTCTCCTCACCTGTGTCTCTGTGTCTCCTCACCTGTGTCTCTCTCTACGTGTCTCCTCACCTGTGCCTCTGTCTGCGCGTCTCCTCACCTGTGTCTCTCTCTACCTGTCTCCTCACCTGTGTCTCTCTCTACGTGTCTCCTCACTTGTGTCTCTCTCTGCGTGTCTCCTCACCTGTGTCTCTCTCTGCGTGTCTCCTCACCTGTGTCTCTGCGTGTCTCCTCACCTGTGTCTCTCTCTGCGTGTCTCCTCACCTGTGTCTCTGTCTACGTGTCTCCTCACCTTTGTCTCTTTCTACCTGTCTCCTCACCTGTCTCTCTCTCTACGTGTCTCCTCACCTGTGTCTCTGTCGACGTGTCTCCTCACCTGTCTCTCTCTGCGTGTCTCCTCACCTGTGTCTCTGTCGACGTGTCTCCTCACCTGTGTCTCTGTCTCCTCACCTGTGTCTCTGTCTGCGTGTCTCCTCACTTGTGTCTCTCTCTACGTGTCTCCTCACCTGTGTCTCTGTCTGCGTGTCTCTTCACCTGTGTCTCTGTCTACCTGTCTCCTCACCTGTGTCTCTGTCTACGTGTCTCCTCACCTGTCTCTCTCTCTGCGTGTCTCCTCACCTGTGTCTCTGTCTACGTGTCTCCTCACCTGTGTCTCTCTCTCTGCGTGTCTCCTCACCTGTGTCTCTCTCTACGTGTCTCCTCACCTGTGTCTCTCTCTGCGTGTCTCCTCACCTGTGTCTCTCTCTGCGTGTCTCCTCACCTGTGTCTCTGTCTGCGTGTCTCCTCACCTGTGTCTCTGTGTCTCCTCACCTGTGTCTCTCTCTACGTGTCTCCTCACCTGTGTCTCTGTCTCTCCTCACCTGTGTCTCTCTCTACCTGTCTCCTCACCTGTGTCTCTGTCTCTCCTCACCTGTGTCTCTGGTTCCTCTCTGAGAGCGAGCGAACGCTGTGCGGCTGCGACAGCACGTCATAATATTGCAATTAAATTACAGACACGGCCTGTGGAGGCCTTCGTCGAGCAGTGGATCGACCATGGCAGCTCCTAATTGTGTCTGTTACACTTGGGCTAATGGAACACATGGGATTGACGGGAGAGAACAAGGGAGGCACGCAGCGAGGATAAGGATTCGAGTTAAATACAGCGCTTAAATTCCGCAGCAGCATCGGGAACGTCTTAACGCGCGTGTAGGCACAGTATGTTAAACTTCTTTCGCACCGTACCTTGCCAACCGCGTGTAATCGGAGGTGCGGGGGAAGAACGACAAACTAAACAACAACAACAACAAAAAGCAGTTCGAAAGAAATGAGTGTTCAATTTAGATTGAAAAGTTAATAGCTCCGGTGGCTTCCAAATTTCGGAAGAGCGTTCCAGACGGCCACGGAAGCGCATCTTAAAGCGCGCGACGCAGTGACCGACGTCACGGACGAGACCGGTACACGCGAGATCGGTACACAGACGACATGCGAACCTGGATGGCATCTTCCATCGAAATCACAGCTCCGTCCCTTTCTGCTGCTTAAATCGCGTTGTCTATTTTTTTGAGGTTCGTATTATTGAACCTCGCTCCATTCAACAAAACGTGTTACAACTCCGCGTCTGTTACACGTCAAGTAGAGTAGTGCTGTTTGTTGCTGGCCGCATGGCGTGTTTTCGTGACTCATTTCTTGGGCCTCCAACACCGTGATACATAACTTGGTATCCTGTGGGGTAGATCGTGTAGTGTCCAGTAGAATGTGAATGTTTGAATACAGCCTGCCACAACTCGAGGCAGTCAAAGCGAGTTGTCACGTGGGCAAATCTGACAACTGAAAATGGTCCCAAACTAAATGTTTACAATTTTGTCCGACGTTTCGATTGAGATTTCATCCAGCTTAATCGGGTGTGAAGAAAGCCTCGTCGCTCACGTGGGCGGGAAGCCTTTGGCGAGTCTCAAGACGTCCTTTCAGGAGGGTCCTGCTCGGTTTTGTTTGCAATTTGGTGGGTGATGTTCCTGCTGTGTTGGATTCAAATACGGTGGTTTGCAGGTACTGTAATAATCGTTTCAGTCGGATCGAAGGGTCGTTCCACGTATTTTTAGATTCCTGAACCTTGCAAGCAGGGTAGATGAATCTACAGGATGGCCTGAAAGTCAGGACACAGGGTTATGTCATCTATTTTTTTCTCTTGCTGTGGTTGTCCCACTTGATGACCATTGCTTGTGTTGCGATTGAAACGTCGTGATTTATTATTTTTCTACCTAAGTGACTTTACCGAAAGAACCAAAGAGTATAGAAATCACGTAGGGTTGTATTATTTTAACACGTGTTCAAATTGGCTTTCATTAAAATTAATGTACGCATTCATTCTCTTTTGAAATGAAATTAGGACTTTTTTTTAAAGAGTACAGCTGGCATCTTTATCCTACATAAAAAAAAAATAATTTAACTCGTTCGTCTTTAGTCAGTATTGTTAAACATGTTAAATGTCATCTGAAAAGAACAGAACACACATTAACAGCAAGTGTTAAAATAATATAAATAACCCGGTGTGTCCTGACGTTTTGGCCACCCTGTATAGGAGACAATATTCGTCAGATCTCAGAAGCTACTGAGCAGGATGGAGATTGGAGAGTGCTTGGATGTATGACCGTCATGCACAGGAGTCGACAACCCCAAAATAACAAGGCCATTGTTTAAAATTTGGTTCAAAAAACAAATCTCAATATATCAAGAGCCGCAATGCCATGTGATAAAAAAATAACGTGACGAAGCAGCCCTTCAAGAGCAGCATGCAGCTCCTGATCCACAGGTCACAGACACCTGATCATGCACAACAAACTGGTCATGGGCTTAAGAGCTTCGTTCATGCGATGCAGAAGTTTAATGCTAATTTCCTGGGGTGATCGGGCTTTTTGCCAAGTTCAGCTCCCAATCTTTGGAACAACGCTTTGTCTTCGCTGACAAGGCAACCAGAGTCGTTCGATATATTTAAGTCCGTCCTGAAAACTCACCCCTTGAAACCGGCCTTCACTCACGCCGAGTTCTACTCTGCAGCTTGTTTCATTCCCCGCGTTCCATACACGGGACCGCGCACTGGGATCTGCGGATGAAACGTGCAGGTGCAAACAATGTCGGAGCCAGGATTTTCAGGTAGGTGTGGGGTTTGGGGCAACCCCTCCAGCAATGACAAATGAGAGAGGAGTTGTTAGTAAGTAAAGGGCTTGTCCCTTGCTTTTTTATTAGACGCGTGTGCGGCGATGGCCCAGCCATCGATCGAGGGTCGAATTCGAACCATCGCTGAAGGTGTTGATGCCTTCAGGAAAGTCGTGTACTGTATACGCAACTGCGCACAATTCTGAGTCACTTGTAAGCGCTTTGCCGTTACTTATTGCCAGTTATGGACTCGGACTATTGTCCTATCATCTCATAGAGTCCCTGGCACGTAATAATAATAATATGCTACACAGTGGCAGTGGGAGTCGCAAAATGCCGATTTGTTACTAATAAACCCCAATGATCCGATCGAAATTAGGGATTTCGTTCGGATCATTTGGGGGGGGGGGGGCACGTGCCACCCCACCCTGCCACTGGCAGAGGGTTGCAAATGTAAAATTATTAATTAGTGAAATTAAAATCACATCCTTACATCAATAGCCATTGTCAGATGGGGGTGTGGAGGGGGTAGAGGTGGGGGATGGAGAGGTGGGGGGGTGATGTTGAGGGGGGAGGAGGAGGTGGGGGGAAGAGGTGGGGGAGGGGGGAGAGGTGGGGGAGTCCAGGTGTTCGCGTTTTTTAATTGTGACGTAACCGCCGCTGAGTCGCGGGGGTGGTAAGTGGGGGTGGGGGTGGGGCGCTGTTTGGCTCCGCGCGGGATCCGTACGGCGCGTCACGGGACGACCCCCGACCCCGGGCAGCGGAGGAAAACAAACGTGGACGCGTGAGCGGAACCGATTTGGAGGAGGGAGTCGGAGAGAATTTGAGAGAATCGGGGACCCATTGGAGAGGTCCCCGTGACGGCGGAAACCCGAGCGGCAGACGAGTTGCGTTGCAGCAGGGCAAGAGGACCCCGACCAGAAGAGACGGACGCAGCCTGAGCCCGAACGGAATCTCAATCTGAACACGGCACGCGCGAACCGAGCAAGTTCGTCGTTGAACAGACAAAAAAAAGAACACAAACAGAGCGGAGCCAGAACCTTTACCCGGAGTCGAACTGGACCGGTTCGCAACCTCGCCTCGCGCCGCCAGTGAGGGATCTGCACCTCTCCACACGCACGTGTTCACCCCTCGACACGCACGTGTTCACCCCTCTACACGCACGTGTTCACCCCTCTACGCGCACGTGTTCACCCCTCTACGCGCACGTGTTCACCCCTCTACGCGCACGTGTTCACCCCTCTACACGCACGTGTTCACCCCTCTACGCACGTGTTCACCCCTCTACGCACGTGTTCACCCCTCTATACGCACGTGTTCACCCCTCTACACGCACGTGTTCACCCCTCTACGCACGTGTTCACCCCTCTACGCGCACGTGTTCACCCCTCTACGCGCACGTGTTCACCCCTCTACACGCACGTGTTCACCCCTCTACGCGCACGTGTTCACCCCTCTACGCGCACGTGTTCACCCCTCTACGCGCACGTGTTCACCCCTCTACACGCACGTGTTCACCCCTCTACGCGCACGTGTTCACCCCTCTACGCGCACGTGTTCACCCCTCTACGCGCACGTGTTGACCGCTAAACACGTGTTGACCGCTAAACAGGTGTTCACCCCTCTGCGCACGCGAGTGCATCCCTTTACACGCGTATTCACTTCACACACACGCACGTGTGCACCTAAACACACGCGTGTTCGCGTTCTACACATCGCATGCGACAACTTGTTACGTGAAGTCTGCAGAGCGGAGCGATGAACATGAAAGGAAATCTGAGGTCCAAGAGTGATTTAAAGTAGGACAGGGAAGCGTATTGTTTTGACCCTAACTTATCAGTGAATCCAGAGACTTGGGGCCGCTACACGGAACGACTTTGAACATAGTTTGACTCTTGCACAGTGGGGGACTTTTGAGCATGAACAGTGGAAGGAGCACCTGTAACACCCCCCCCCCCTTACCTGTCCAACAATGTACCTGTACACACAGGGACATGTGTGCCAGCGTTCGGGTAACTCACCTGTGCGTAAGGAAATCAGTCCAGCGGATAGGTTGGCGTGTGCACAACTATAATGTCTCTCCACTCACTTACCTGGACACACGTGCAGCGCTGCTCTCCACATTCACCTGTGCACCCAATTAGCCGTGCCCACGTGGACCCGCGCACAAAAGCGCCTGTCGGCACGTCTTCCTCTCGTGTGTGTGTGAGTATGTGCACAAACTGCATAGGGGTATATGCGCACGTGTGTACGTGCACAAAGTGCACATTCTCCGGCTTCGATTCGCGACCAACGCCGGTGACGAATTATCTGAACCGGTTCTGTGCCTCCCCTAGGTCGACTCGGCCTCAAATGAGTACCTGGTGGCGGTGTGTAGTAAACATCGCCACTGGGGAGACAAAGGCGGCCGGGCGCGGTGCTGGCCACCCACTGCCTCGTGCGCCGTGCCGCCCTCCATAGGTGCTCGCTAACACGCACTTGCCCCAGCAGTATGTTAAAGGCTATACGGGGGATCTTTGTCTCTGTGAGTTTGTATCTGCAGCGGTGGTGCAGTGGCCAGCACGCTGCGCTATGGACCCGGCAACTCAAGTTCAGTTCCTGTCCATGACTCGCTTGTGTCGCGTGTAATAATCTCAACCCTGGTGCAGAACCCGGCGACCCGAGTTCGGTTCGCCCACGGTGGCGAGATGTTAACTACCTCACCTGGTATGCAGAGGTCGTAGGTTCGATCCCGACTCTGACACCTGTATATTTGGCGTTTGCATGTTCTCCCTGTGGTCACGTGGCGTTTTCCCCGGCTCCTCCGGTTTTTTTTCCCTAGACATTTAGAATCAACATCACGCGTTTCGAGTGTTTGGCTGCTATACATTCCCACGTGCTAAGCCACTGCGTTGAGCTATCATTTGTGGCCAGGTCGCTTCTGAAAAAGAGCTATACAGCTCAGTGGGCCTTACCTGGTAAAATAAACGATAGTTTAGGTTTATAGTTTAGATTCCCAGCCGCGGCTAACATCAGCGGCGAGTGATATCTGAACCGGTTTTAACTGCGCCCTAAATGAGTAATTGTACCTGATGCGCGCTGTGTACCTGGTACGCTTTGTACAACATGGGCAGTGGGGACACGAGAGCGCCAGGGAGTGGCGGGGTCCCAGAGCATAATCGAACGTGCATACAGACAGGGGGGGAGGCGTGCTTCCTGCTTCCCTACAAGTCTCTGGTTTTTATCATCTGTAGCTCGTAAAACACACACACGTGTATATCCAAATACGCAACACATCCGTCGGTGACACTGGCCTTCAAAGAAAAAAATATGGAATAGGTGACGTTTGGGGGCAATGGCCCTTCTTCATAGCACATACAGAGGCCAGAGAAACCAAGCGGATAATGAGAGTTCGAGACTGCACTTGGTTACACCATGGGGGCCTAATATAAATTATTTGTGGGGTTTTCTTTGTGCATGAATAGTTACCTATTAGGAGCTATTGAGTAACAGGATAACCCTTCAATAATCAGAAAGTATCATTATTAAATATACTGATTTGTATTACAAGTAAAACATTTTAAATGTTGCTGGCACCATTGCATTGTGGGTGGACTCCATGGTAGTGATGTCAGCGAGAGCGCCATTGTCAGAATCCGCTTCGTGATGCATTCCTGGGTCCAACTGTCATTTTTGGAGCGCCATAGGGGAGCTCTCAAGAGGGGGGACATGCAAAAAAATTAAATTCTCAAACCTTTTGAGACTAATCGATATGACAAAACAGGAAATCACAAAAAAACCGTTATCTCATTATTATATGCAAATTCTTAGTCCGTGTCTGCTGTATTTTTTTTTGTTGGGCTGTGTAGCTGGTCACATCCCATGCCACCCCCCCACGCCTTAACAGGCGCTCGCTATAGGCAATTGTCGTCACCATTGGTCGGTTAAAGGCTACGTGTGGGGGGGGGGGGGGTGTCTCTGTGTTCTCCCAGCATGGCGGACTACCTCATCAGCGGTGGGGCCGGGTACGTCCCAGAGGATGGACTCACGGCCACGCAGCTCTTCGCTGGCACTGACGGACTCACCTACAAGTAACTCAACGCATGACAACAACAACAACAACAGCTGTTTTCCACAAAGTGGCAGTGATGTCGCCACTTCGCTTGTGCCAGGCTAGGTGCACTTTGAGGCTATCACGTGAAGTGGCTAAAGCTTACTGGTGGCAGGAGGTCATCGGACAGACCAAGGTGCCATGGGTTGACTAAATTATACGACTGGCAGATGCACCACCTGTGTTCCGCACTACCAACTTGCTGCGATATAGCCACCCGGCACTCCGGTCATTGTTGTGAGCGTCACTCCTACACCCTTCATTGTTGTTGAAGGGCGACTGTGTCCAACTGCCCAATAGCGTCCTGCACTAACCTCCCCCAAAAAAGACCGATCTTGACACCGCTGGTACCCGTCATCAGGAAGTCCAATCAGCTCCACATCCTCCTGTACCGCACATCACTCCATCTCTTCTCTAGCCCGTGACATGCCCGTTTAGGCCCCTCTTTCCGGCCAAACAGAAGCTGTTTGGGCATGCGGTGGCTGGCCATGCGAGCTACATGACCCAGCCAACGCAGGCTTACCTGCCAGACGAGCTCGCTGATGGGACTCTGTCCAGATATTTCAAGGATCTGTGAACTCTTCAGACAACCTAGTTTGGCTTAACCAAGAATGGATCGTGTTAAGTCAGTTTGAATGTCTCGAAGCACGGGTACGTGTAGTTAAACATACGCGTAGCAGCAGGCGTGGATTGGCAGTATCTAAAATTTTAAATGTAATTCCAATTGTAATTGGTATCTAATATTACATCTGATACTTTTAATTGGTAAATTGTATATATCTGCATTACATGACCCAAAGTTAATTTGTGATTTGTAACTGCATGAGAGATACTCTGTAAAAAATATATATTTTGCCCATCTTTATGGGGCACAGAAATACGAAACTTGCAAATAATGCCACAGAAAACGTAAATTATTGCTTTCTCAAGTAGAACGATAGTGAAGATGTAGACTGCATTGTCGGTTTTGCTTTCTACTTGGAGTAATCGGTCACTGAGTGATGCGGCCCCATCATCATCATCCTCGTCGTCGTCACCATCATCATCATCGCCTCACCATCGTCGTCACCACGAGCCTCATACGGGATAAACGCGTGACTGCGGTGGCAGAGCACGAAGGAGACTGAGTTCACCAGTAGGGAGCAGAGCCAACAGTACAATCAGCATGAAAAGGCATACAAGGAATACGCAACTTTATATAATTCAAAAGCATGGTTAATACACTACCCGGATAATCCTTTCACGGATAATAATCGAGAGTTATCTATACTTAGCGCTGGGGGATTTTTTATTTAATTATATTTTTTAATCTCCAAGGTGTCCAAGAGTCCTGTTAATGCTTTTGAAATATAGGGGGGCAGACTGCCTGGGCTGCAGTGGATGCTTTGCCACCACTGGTTTCACCTCCATGCGTTTCCCCGAGAGGGCATCATCAGGAAAATATTCACACCACTCTGTAATTTACAGATCCACGCCCCTCCAGATATAAATCCACACCGGTCTCGATTCTACATATCTACACCACTCTGGGTTATAGAATAATGCTACTCTCGATCAGGGATTCGCACTGTGGATTCTTGCCACGATAGACCACACAGCCTCACACCGTCGTGCATCTTCTAAATCCTCCGCACCGTAGATTACGCAGATTCTCGCCACTGTATATTCGACAAATTAACTCCACTGTAGATTCCCGCCTGAGGTGCACCGACCTTTGAACCAAACAACCAATTAGTGCCGCTCCCATGGGTCGGCTCCCACTTCCCGGGGCTGCCGGTCGTCGGGGCAGGAGTGGACTTTGCTCTCCGTGTCCCCGAGTGTCCCTCTTTCCTCTCCAGGGACCGTCAGCGGCCCTTATTACCGTAATTTACAGACTACGGCGCGGCTCTGCTGGTCCTCTAAGCGACCGGTGAAGTCGGCGAGTGGTTTGGCTTTTCGTGGAAGCCAAACGGGTAACCTGGTGAAAACCCACGGGTGCAAAGAAACACGGAGAGGTTCATGCCTCTGAGAAGCTGGCCCCCGCAGTCTCCACTTGCCGTGCCGGGGAGACCGAATCGAAGCGGCGACCTCTGGGTTGCAAGTGCAGCGCGCCGACCGTGACACCGCTGTGGCAGCAATCCCATGCGTATGTGCAGTGCACTCGTGTCCAGCTCTCGCTGCATCTCCCCCGCTCAACGCTTTTCCGCTGTAATCGTGGCGACAAGCGACCAGCTCATCTCGGCGTCGGTACACGATATGGTTTTTTTTTTTCGCGAGCCAGCGTGATAGTGGCGCTGTCGTTCTCTTCTCTGGACCTTCACGGAGAGGGAGATGTTACAAATTCCACGGATTGCGACGGCGGGTTTGAGAGTCTCCAGTCGTAATTGACTGGTGACAGCATAACCACATCGCCCCTTGGCAACGCGGCAGCGAAAGGGCGAACAGCTGTGTCGGAGGGAGGTGATGGTGGCAGGGTAGCAGGGCCTGGTGCGGGAGAGAGAGAGGCACCGGATTATCCGGATTTACTCCGTAAAAAGCAGATAAATTTATCGCGAGCAGCGTAAGCAGATCGGCGTGAATGTCCTGCGGCCAACTCTTGAGCTCGCGGGCCGTCGCTGAGGGTTCCCCGGCGAGTTTGGTGTCGACTCAACGTTCGGCCTCGCGGTCGACAAGGCTTGCACCGATTAGCCAATTTTAGCAACGATACTTGTTTTTTGTTTGCGATGGACGAATGAAATCGATTGCGAAGGATTGATGACCCATGATGATACGTGAACGTTTTCATCGAGGAATGGCGCCGAGAGTCGATAATCCGCATCGGAGTGGGATTGTAAAAAATACTTAACTCGACAAACGAGAAACAATACAGGCATTGAAAACGAGACCAAAAAGAATCAATGCCTGAATGGAATCAATGATCGCTGAGCACATCTATGTAAGTCTCTGGGTCTCTACGTGAGTCTATGGGGGTCTGTATGTGAGTTTATGGGGTCTCTTTGTAAGTCTATGGGTCTCATCAGTGGTGTCGCGTGGTCAGCATGAACGCTGTCCAATTTCCTCCCTCTTGGTATCCCTACGCCTGGGCCCCTCGGGTGCCCCACGGGCAGTTGCACCGCCTGCACACTCGATAGCTACGCCACTGGGTTGAAACATTTATGTACGTGGACTCGACCGCTGGTAACCGAGAAGAGGCGTTATCTGTTAAACTCCCCGTTACGACCTCGTTATCTTTTTTACGCCATCAGCTTATTGGTTATGACGTGGTTACCGCACGGCTTGGTCCGCCATCAGGGTGGTTATCTTGAACAATATTCGTTTTATTATCTGGGGGACGTCTCGCTGGGCAGGGCGTGATTGCACGCGTGCGAGCCGCCAGGAATGGTGGATCATGCAACTGTGAAACTCCCGAAACCTTGCGAGCCTGCGGGTTGTCCAGGATGCCGCAGTGCAGCAAGAGGGCTTGTGAACACCCAACTTTTGAGTATTGTCCCTTGGTAAGCGTGCTGGTGGGTTTTCTCGAGGTACCCGTGCAGAACAAACGGGACGCGTGGCACGGATAAGGCTTTGCATTCGGCGCTTAAATGCAGCAGAATCTTAAAGCGCTTACGGACATTACAAACGAGGCCAGGTACACACGGCCACTTGTTCATATCAGCACCTGGCTTTACAATAGATCACCTCTACGAGAGTTACCGTGACCCCCGCTGCAGCCGGACAGACCGAATGCATTAACGCTTTCAAACGTACACCTGGTCACCTGATCGCTTAATCTTCCTGTCACTTTTGGTCACCTTGGTATCCAATCACCTTATCTATGAATATCCTGGTGACCTTGTTATGGGATCGCCTGATCAATGAATCTCAAGGTCACTTGGTCATCGGATCACCTTATCAATGAAAATCCTCATCACCTGGTTACCCATTAATCTGGCCACGCACCCTCCTGTTTAAAACATTAGCCAGCAATGCTGCGAATGCACACACACACGTGGGAACACTGGAGCTTTACGTGGCCATTATCAGAATAAAACTTTTCCACGTGCTCCCATAATGAATTTTCCCGAGCAACCCATATGTGTTTGTCCATGCCGCCCTCCGGGGTGGAAGATGCCGATGCTTGCGGTGAGCGTGCCACACCTAACCGCCTCCCTCCCCTCTCCGCCTCCCTCCCCTGATTTCAGTGACTTTCTCATCCTGCCCGGATTCATCGACTTCACCGTGGAGGAGGTGGTGAGTGGTGCCCGCCCTCACTGCCGAGTTCACACGTCACACGCCACGGATGTCACCTGCGGACGGGAATCAAACTTGCGTCGCCGGGTTGGGTAGCGCAGTGCGCTCACCACTGCGACACCGCTCCCCAAAACATTGTTGTCCTTCCGCCGTGCCTCCGATTAGCACGGTTGGCTACGTACGGTGCGAAAGAAGTTCAACATACATACATTGTTCACGTATGACGGAGACAAAGATCCCCCCGTATCACCAGATTTCGTAGTGCAGCGTGCCAGCTACTGCACTACCATTGTGCACACACACACACATGCGGCACATTGTCCCTTAATTTTAAATCACCCTGAGCGCACCTGATTCCATTGGGATCACGAAAGCTCGGCAGGGCTGAGCCCGGAGAGCGCTTGGACAGGCGACCACCGCGCAAAGTTGGAGCCACGAAGCTCCATCCAAGCGCAGGAGGAGTGAGATGGACGGTAGCAGCTTTGGACCGTAGCAGCGTTGGACCGTGATGGATCGTGACGGCGGAAGCATGCATCCAGTAGACCATGGCTGATTATGAAGATGATATGACACTGTATCTCTACCTTTCACTGCAGGGTGGAGGGGGGGGGTAATGTTTCTATTACTGGGGTAGCAGTGCTATGGGCAGGCGGCTGGGAGCCTGTGAGTTGCCGGGGAAGCTTAAAACCAAAATAAGTCGGTGAAGTTGCTCTTGTGGCTTCATCCTGGATTGTGCCGGGTGGCTGTTGAGGGTTTAAGTGGTGGAGATGGAGGAGATGTGGGTGGGGGGGGCAAGAGAGAGGGGAGGGGAGTCGGGGGGGGGGGGGGGGGCTCTCACCCTAACCTCGTTAGCGGGGGGTGCAGTCGTTAATCCCAGCCGTCCGCTCGCCGTAGCATCGGCCTCTCAAACAGAACTTGGGACGGACATCGGCGGTTGTTAACACTGCGGTTGAGCACGGGTGACCCCGTAGAGGAGAGGGAGGGGGAGCGGCGTGCGTTTTCGAGGATCAGGGGTGGGAATCCATTGGGATTAGGGAGGCGAGATCAGGGTCGGGTTAGGCTTGGCGTGCGAGTGATCCGCACGGAATCGGCCGTGCATTGATTCGCTATTAAGCGTTTAAATCCCTGGCTGGTGAGACGCCGTCGCCTGCCCGCTATTCTCACGACCGCCGATCGTGAGAGGCGCGCTGGGCCCGTGTTCCGAGTGCGGCGGTTCTTCTACTTCTGGATGTTGCTCTAGAGCAGCGGCTGTGATGCTTCATATCGAGGTGGTTGATGAGCAGGGTGATTGTGTCAGGAGTGGCGGGGTGGTGAACACATTCCATGGTCTCTTTTCTGGGGTATCCGCATCTGCCGTGGAGTGTGGCAGCGCACGCCTACGATGTTGTTAGGGTTGACGGATTGCAGAATGACTTGCCGGCATCCACAACACCCACTGGGCTGCGAGGTTGTCACGAGTAGGCATTGCAGAAATCCGGTTCCTGAACCCGTGTACGCAGATCTCTGAGTGTTTTGTCCTTGTATATGCAGGTTTTTTCCGTCTACTCCAGTTTTGTCCCACGTGAAGCAAAACCACTCCCGGCCAGACATCCCCAATGCAATGCTTGTCAGGTGTTGTAGGCGTGGTGCTTCAAAGCGTGTGCAGGCGATGGCAGTGCCGAGTGCAACCCCCTCCCTCCCCCCCCCCCCCCCCCCGCTCTCTCGTACGCAGCAACACGGGTGCTGGATTTTCTCCATAGTTCTCCGGTTTCCTCTCAAACGAAGCCAAACGCTCATTTGCAATATTCGTGGCCGACGCTTCCCGGCGCAGCAGGATCCCGAGACTCGGTGAGGCCCTCCTTGGAGAGTCCTCGGCACTGTAGTGGTTTAATTTCTACGCGGGCACGGGTTGGCAAGCAGTTGAGCAGTCCGGGAGTGTGAGCAGCGTCGGCCCAGTTGCGACGGTGGGGACGCGCGGCCCAGCGACGGACGCAGCCGTCCTATTTAATTATTTAATTGCCGCTTGTTCTCTTTAATTGGGCTCTCTCTGAAAGTGCACGCGGCGGAGGAGGGAGGTGAAGGGAGGTGGCGGTGAGGGGGAGGCAGGGGGATCGAGCGGCGAGAGACGGCACCGCCGCGGTAGCGCGCCTGTCCGGACCTGCGGTGCTTTGGAAAAATCGGAAAAGAAATATCCCGGGATGGCACCCCCCCACCCCACCCCCACCCCTCCCCCCCACTCCGACACACACGGCCACCTTCGCGACGACCGTGCGACATGCACGTTCCAACGAAGAGCGCGTCGATTACAGCGATGGCGTTCACAGGCGGCGATCTCCGGCTACGTGGAGGATTTCGAGTCGCCGGCTCGTCGCACGCCGAGTTCCAGCTCCGGAAGTAATCGCCCCTCCCCCGGTGGCGGAGCCGCGGTGGTGAGGCCGTGGGTAATTGGCGTTAATGGGCACCGGGTCTGCTCTGGGTAACGCGGAGGTGGGGCGACGGTGGGGGAGGTGGGGGGGGCAGACAACTGGTGCGCCCTGCAGGGACATGCACCCGGTCCCCGCGTCTCGGGCGCGCGGGCGAAGACGCGCGATAAAAATATAAAAATAGACCCCCCCCCCCCCGAGTTGATGGCGTCCCTTACACAGCGCGTCCTCCCTGCGGTTCACTCGTCGTCATCTTCAGTCGTGATCTCTCCGCTGCTGGATAAAGACCTCCCAACCCCCCCAAACATCGGCGTCATCGCTCGCTCCGGTCACACAAACCGATCTCACTTCTTCATTGACCCTCGAGCGCGATGTCCTTTCGTTACGATAACGTCACGAAAGGATCGTCTTACTCGCTAAACTCTGGGCCCTGCCGTAGAAATGTGGACTCTTTACCACTGACTCTGGACCATTGACTCTGGACATCCAAACTGAGCAAACATTGTTCGCACGGCTCTGCAGACCTGCGGTACGTTATTAAACGGCAGGCTTTGTGGATATGTATTTGCGTCCTGCAGGACCCGCCACCATTGCGTAACTCTCCGTGGGGGCTTAAGTCCTCGCTGGATATTTGAGCATGTCCGCTTGCAGACCAGATTAAGTGGCTCGCTACCAGTAAGGCACGTCCGTAGCGAGATGTATACAGGATGTGGTGTGCTGGGGGTCGCATGATTTTTGGGTTGCCGACCCAGACAGACCCGGCTGAAATGAAGCCCCGATCATGTCCACGTTTCAAGTTTATTTTGTTGAACAAGCTGACAACTCGGTCGATCATGATAATCCACTGCCTGCACGTGTTTCTACTGTGAGAGCAGTACGAATAGTACAGGGAGGCTTAAATGTTGACTGCAACAACTTTCAGGATCTGGCAGAAGGAAGGAAGTGACGGCAAGGTTTGGCAGCATCGACGGCTTTGTCGGCGATGACCCCTTGTGTGACTTGGGTAAAACCCTCCCGCAAATATCCGCCCCAAAGCTCATTCACGAAGATTTGCGGGGTCACGAGGCGGCTCTCAAAGCGCCGTTCGGCCTCCTGTGCGGTGGTGGTGGTGCCGCCCCCCCCTAAGCCGGCGGGCGGTGACTTCCCTGGTGAGCCGGTGGCGACACTTACGCCGGTTCTTCCACCAGGCGGCAGATGCAGCCACCGTAGCATGCGCCAACTATAATAATACGACAATGGTAATAATAATCATTTGTTTATTTAGCCACGATTGCCACACTATCGTCCGAAGACTTATCGGGAGGGTCGTTCCTTTGGGATGCTTGGCCGTCATTCATTTTGTGTCGCACGGCTTTAAAGCAACTTCCTCACCACCGCCGTGGAAGCACACACATCGTGGGCAGGAGAGGCCAGTGTGGCAATACCCTCCTCTGTCTTCGCCAGCTACGCAGCTCCCACGTCTTGGCGCCACCACGTGGTTGCACCGACCGGGAAGCAATGGCGAGATACGGCCGTACTCATTGGTGCCGGCCACGATGCGTCCTCAGTCTCAGTGATTCGATGGCGCGCCGGTTAACAGTGATCCCTTCCCCCCCCCCCCCCCACCCCTTTTTCCATCGAGGACCTGACGTCGGCGCTCACCAAGAAGATCACGCTGAAGACGCCGCTCGTCTCCTCGCCCATGGACACCGTCACCGAGTCCGACATGGCCATCGCCATGGCGGTGAGAGCGGCGCAAATTTGCTCACCGAGATTTACCCGGGCTCACCGAGAGTGACCCGGGGGGGCGTCACTTAAATGGGTCTCACTTTCATCACGCAGTATGAGAGGCAAATGTTCCCTGAACCTGTCCTGGGCCTCCCCCTGGGTCAACTCGGCCTCAAGAATTTGAGCACCTTGTGCAATGTGGCGTAAACATCAGCTGTGGGAGACAGAGGTGCCGGCGTGGTGCTGGCCGACACCACCCTCTCGTGCTCTGTGCCGGCGTTCATCGGTGCTCACGAACAGCACTTACCCCAACAATGTCTTAAGGCTACATGGGTATTGGGGGGGGGGTGGTGATGTTTGTCTTTGTTTGAGCAGCTGATGGGCGGCATCGGCTTTATCCATCACAACTGCACCCCCGAGTCCCAGGCTCACGAAGTGCACCAGGTCAAGGTACGTCGAGCAACATCGCCACCCTCTCTTCTTAAAAATAAAACAAACCCCATCCTCTCTTTGTGAAAATCTCTCTCCCAGTTGCACCCCGATTGTGCTATCAGCACCCAGTCATGAGTTTAATTTATTGAGAAATCTTGCGGAGCAGTGCAAAACCCCCTCTCCCCCAACTTCCGCGGTTGGGAACGGCCAACAGAAGCGGATATCCATTGAGTGATAATGATTTTCCTCCGCCACGATTCTACGAACCGTCATGATCTTGAGGTCACGTAATTGAAGGGCAAATTAGTATAATGTTTTGCCTCGTTTGTGCTTTTCCTTGCGTTTGGCGGCAGCAATTTGTTCCGGAGCTAAAGCGCCATTGGTCGTGGTCTGCTGGCCACGATGAGAGGGCTTTAGCAGAGAGAGAGAGAGTCGTTTTGCTGTTCCTCTTCCGTTGACGGAGCATAGACTGCTGTGTGGGTTTATTACGCGCTGCATAGTTTGGGTTGCGTGACCACAGTTGCACTACTGCGGCTTGTCTTTAATGTATCTCTGTGAATCTCTCCATATCTCTGTGTCTCTATGGTTTTACTTACACCGTCCATAGTTAACCATGGCCACAGTCGCACCACTGTGGCTTGCGTCCTTAATTTTCTATCGATGAAGATGTGCCCATCGGCCTGTTGTTGATGATGTTTTGATGGTAGTTGTAGAGCCTGCCTCGTGTACTCGGTGTTGTCAGTGCTGTCCCATCTGCACTGCCTCTTCGCCACAGATGATCAGGATGAGAGCGGCCTTGATTTTTTTTTTTGCACCGCATCTCCCTCTAACCTTTGCTCTCACCTCCACCGCTCATCTCTCACCTCTCTCTCTCCGCTCGCTGCCCACTGCTCAACTACTAACTGCTCACCGCTTGTGACTCGCCAACTCATTTACTCACTGATCACCACTCATGTACTCATCCCTCGCCCACCCGCCTGCCCGCCCGCCCACCCACCAACCACCACCCACGATCCATCGCTCTTTGCTCACCGCCCGCCCTCCTTCGTCACTCACCGCTTACCGCTCACCACGGCCGCTCGCCGGCAGAAGTACGAGCAGGGCTTTATCACGGACCCCGTGGTGCTGAGCCCGGCACACACGGTGGGCGACGTGCTGGAGGCCAAGGCGCGCCACGGCTTCTCAGGGATCCCCATCACCGAGACGGGGCGCATGGGCGGCCGCCTCGCCGGCGTCATCACCTCGCGCGACATCGACTTCCTCACCGAGAAAGACCACGGCATCCCGCTCCACCAGGTCGCTCGTCGCGGCGCCACCACCGCAAGCCGCCACCGCCACAGTGCTGTCGCCGTGGCGGTGGTGGGCACAGTGATCGTTGTGGTGTTCGTGGTATTGTTACTGGAGGGTGATGGTCATTGTCGTTAATTCGTGACAATTGTGGTGGTGGTGGTGATGGCGATAGTGATCACTTTGGTGTTGGTGATGAACGCTGTGGTGTTAGTGGTTAGAGTGGCGGTGGTGATAGTAATTGTGGTGTTAGTGGTCAGCAGTAGTGTCGTGGTTATTGCCACAGCTGACGGCCACCACCAGTGACGATCTGATCCGATCCTGGGCCTCCCCTGGTGCAGTGTGTAAACATCGCCACGAAGGAGACAAAGGGGGCCGGGTGAGGTGCTGGCCATAACCCCGCAACAGTCTGTTAAGGCTATACGGGGAATCGTTGTCTTTGGTGGTGGTTGAGTTAGTCAGCGCTTTGGAGACAAGCGTTAGTGTGTCACATAGATTTGTGAAGCCCCCAAAACCACTTGTTTGCCAGGTGGCCTGGAGATGGCAGTACAGCAAATGGCTTACTTAATCCTCCTGTGCTGAACTTTGAGTATTTTGCCCTGGCACCTACAGATTCCACATTCAGTGTCGGTGACAGTGATGGTGTTTGTATCTCTGCTGATGGTGGTAATGATGGTGATTGTGTTTGTAGCGCTGCTGATGGTGGTAATGATGGTGATTGTGTTTGTATCGTTGTCGATGGTGGTGATGATGATGGAGTCAGTGTTGGTGTTGTATTTCTGTCGATGATCCAAATGATGATGATTGTTTCGCTCTTGATGGTGACGATAATGTTGATGGCGGTGACGGGTGATGGTGACGTTGATGGCGGTGGGGCAGGTGATGACGCGGAAGGAGGACCTTGTGGTGGCCCCATTTGGCGTGACCCTGAAGGAGGCCAATGACATCCTTCAGAGGAGCAAGAAAGGCACGTGTGTGTGTGTGTGTCCCACTTCACCATCACAGCACGTGTGTGTGTGTCCCACTTCACCATCACAGCACTGTGTGTGTGTGTGTCCCACTTCACCATCACAGCACGTGTGTGTGTGTGTCCCGCTGCACCATCACAGCACGTGTGTGTGTGTGTGTGTGTCCCGCTTCACCATCACAGCACGTGTGTGTGTGTGTGTCCCACTTCACCATCACAGCACGTGTGTGTGTGTCCCGCTTCACCATCACACACGTGTGTGTGTGTCCCACTTCACCATCACAGCACGTGTGTGTGTGTGTCCCGCTTCACCATCACAGCACGTGTGTGTGTGTGTGTCCCGCTTCACCATCACAGCACGTGTGTGTGTCCCACCCAACTCCGCGATGGTAGCGCAGAGTGCCTCCACTAGGTCAACTCAGCCTCAATTGAGTACCTAGTGCGGTGTGTAAACATCGCCACTCGGGAGACAAAGGCGTGGTGTTGGCCACCCACCCGCTCGTGTGCCGTGCTGGCCTTCATAGATGCTCACGAACACCACTTGCTCCCACACGTGTGTGTTCCCCGCCCCCACTCCACGATCGCAGTGTGGGTTCACACAGCGCCGACGTGTACACCCCATAGCACCCCAGTGCGCTGGGCAGCAACAGACAAAATAACCACCTTGCACGGAAATGCATCGCCCATTTACAAGATACGGTTTGAGACTGAGTGGTTAAGTGAGTGAGTCAGTAAACGAGGGGGTAGGTGAGTGAGTGGGTTGGGGAGTGAGTGAGTAAACGAGGGGGTTAGTGAGTGAGTGGGGGTGGGCTCATGAGTGGGTGAGTGAGTGAATGAACGAGCGAGTGAACGAGAGTGAGAGCGAGTCGATATACGGGTGAGCGATGAAGTCACAAACCAAGCTTAGCACGCGAGCTGGGGTGAGCGAGCAGAGCGGCGCAGCATGGCCATCGCAGAACAACACACGTGGCATGCCGCTTGGGAGATGTGGTATCGATTACAAAAGGTGACGATGAGAACGATGACGACGGCGATGATGATGATGACACGTATCCATCCGTCCGTCCGTCCGCGCCACTGCAGGGAAGCTGCCGATCGTGAACGAGGCCGGCGAGCTGGTGGCCATCATGGCACGCACCGACCTCAAGAAGAACCGCGACTTCCCGCTCGCCTCCAAGGACGCGCACAAGCAGCTGCTGTGCGGCGCCGCCGTCGGCACTCGCCCGGACGACCAGCACCGCCTGGAGCTGCTCGTCAAGGCCGGGGTGGACGTCGTCATCCTGGTACGCTGCACGCCCGCTCGTCCGTGATGGCTCGCTCAGCCGCCTGTCATGGCTGCGGCTTGTCTGCTCGCCCCCACGGCTGTCTCGCCCCGCCTCTACAGCCATCTTTACCCCGCCGCCACAGCTCTTTCGTCCTGCTCGCCACGGCTATAGTTTGTCCATCCGTGACACCACCGTTTAGTCCCCAGTGCCGCCGGTGTGAGCCCATGTCATTTCCGTGTGTGTGTGTGCATGCGCGCTGATGCCAGGCGGTTGTGTCCGTGTGTGTGTGTGTGTGCGCTGATGCCAGGCGGTTGTGTCCGTGTGTGTGTGTGTGTGTGCGCATGCGCGCTGATGCCAGGCGGTTGTGTCCGTGTGTGTGTGTGCGCATGCGCGCTGATGCCAGGCGGTTGTGTCCGTGTGTGTGTTTGGCCACATACGGAGTGATGGATGCGTTGTTGGCGTGTGCGGATTTGGGTAGGGCCGGTCCCGTGTGTTTGTGCCGTCTTACGCATGTGTACCTGTGTGTGCTATCCCGTGAGTGACGCTCCATGTACAGTATTCCCTCGTTATTCGTGAATTACCTTGAATAAATACGTAAATAAGCTATTAAATACGTGCAAATTATCATAATAACCCAACAAATTGGTGAGAATAAATATAAAGTAAATAAAAATAAATATTAAAGTATTCAATAAGAATTTATAAATTAACTTACCTTAAATTATAATGATGCTATACATCATCACTTTATCTCGTCACTTTCTCTCATCACATTCTCTCTCGTCACTTGATTTCTCTCTCTTCATGCAGCCATGTTGAGTTTTGGATGCGATTCGCGGAGAGCCAAAATCGCGGACAGCAAGTCGGTGAATAACGATGGAAACGCTGTCTACCACCGCCCTGTGTGCTCCTCCCTGCGTGGCCCCCAGGACTCCTCCCAAGGGAACTCGGTGTTCCAGATCAACATGATCCGCTACATCAAGCAGACGTACCCCGAGCTGCAGGTCATCGGCGGCAACGGTGAGAGTAACATCGCGAGGGGGAGGGGGTCCCACGGGGCTGGGGGGGAGGGGCGGAGGTCCCAGTGCGGTGAACGTCCACACTGAGAATCAGAACCAACATTGGATGGCGTGCGGCGGACATACAGAGGCGGAGTTAGCGACAGATAGGACCTCAGGCATATTTGGTAAGGGTTAGGGTTGAATCGTGTAGCTGATTGGCTAGTTGGTTAGGATTGAGATAGGGCCAGTACTCGCGGCTTTAGGCCCGTGGGTTAGAGGTGGGGCTCGTACTGGTGCCCAGTTGAATTATGGTTAGAGAGGTATAGCTAAGAGTAGCTGTGTTAGCTCATTGCTTACAGGTAAAACCAGAAGGAGACCAATGATCGTTAAATATTCACATCACGTGCAGGCTAATTGAATAAACGGGACGGAACAAACGAGAAGAACGGTACCAATAATGTAATATAAATGAGCAGAATTGCGACCCTGAGTCGCTACACCGAGCGTGGTCGTGGCGGTGGGCATTGGCGCGGGGAGCGAGCAGTTGCGTGAGTAGCGATCGCGTGCCACCCTCACAGTGGTGACGGCGGCGCAGGCCAAGAACCTGATCGACGCGGGGGTGGACGCGCTCCGAGTCGGCATGGGTGCCGGCTCCATCTGCATCACGCAGGAAGGTGAGTGTGTGTTGGCCGGCTCCATCTGCATCACGCAGGGAGGTGAGTGTGTGCGCCGGCTCCATCTGCATCACGCAGGAAGGTGAGTGTGTGTTGGCCGGCTCCATCTGCATCACTCAGGAAGGTGAGTGTGTGTTGGCCGGCTCCATCTGCATCACGCAGGAAGGTGAGTGTGTGTTGGCCGGCTCCATCTGCATCACGCAGGAAGGTGAGTGTGTGTTGGCCGGCTTCATCTGCATCACTCAGGAAGGTGAGTGTGTGTTGGCCGGCTCCATCTGCATCACGCAGGAAGGTGAGTGTGTGTTGGCCGGCTCCATCTGCATCACGCAGGAAGGTGAGTGTGTGTTGGCCGGCTCCATCTGCATCACGCAGGGAGGTGAGTGTGTGTTGGCCGGCTCCATCTGCATCACGCAGGAAGGTGAGTGTGTGTTGGCCGGCTCCATCTGCATCACTCAGGGAGGTGAGTGTGTGTTGGCCGGCTCCATCTGCATCACTCAGGGAGGTGAGTGTGTGTTGGCCGGCTCCATCTGCATCACGCAGGAAGGTGAGTGTGTTGGCCGGCTCCATCTGCATCACGCAGGAAGGTGAGTGTGTTGGCCGGCTCCATGTGCATCACGCAGGGAGGTGAGTGTGTGTTGGCCGGCTCCATCTGCATCACGCAGGAAGGTGAGTGTGTGTGCGCCGGCTCCATCTGCATCACGCAGGAAGGTGAGTGTGTGTGCGCCGGCTCCATCTGCATCACGCAGGAAGGTGAGTGTGTGTGCGCGCGCGCGAAAGCGAACGACGTCACATCACACATGTGGAACCACACGCACTGCGTCACGTGGAACGCACCACGCGAAATCCGCGCACCTTAACACATTGGGCGCCGCGGTGGCGAGATGTGAACTACCTCGCCTGATGTGCAGGAGGTCGTGGCTTTGATCCCGACCCTGACACCTTTATATTTGAAGTTTACATGTCTCTCTCCCCGTGGTCACGTGGCTTTTTCCCCGAGTCCTCCGTATTTTCTGTCCAGATTTAGAAGCAATGTGCGTTTAGAGTATTTGGCTGCAATACATTTCCACATGATAAGCCACTTCATTGAGCTATTATTTGTGGCCAGGCCGCATCTGAAAAAAAGCTACGTAGCTCAGTGGGCCTTACCTGGTAAAATAAAAGTTTAATAGTTTATTTCCTGACATCGCACCGTACCAACGACACCATGCGCGTGCGTGCTCGTGTGCGCAACCCCATGTGTGTATTTGTGTACCCGTGTGCGTGCGTGTACCCGTGTGTGCTCGCGCGTGCAGTGATGGCAGTTGGCCGCCCCCAGGGCACCGCCGTGTACCGCGTGGCTGAGTACGCGCGCCGCTTCGGTGTGCCCGTCATGGCTGATGGCGGCATCCAGACGGTGGGGCACATCACCAAGGCGCTGGCGCTCGGGGCCTCCACCGGTGTGGGAAGCACGCGCGCGCGCACGCACACTCGTGACTGTACCGTTTGTGGGTTTGTACCGCTGACAGGTTGTATTGTCGGTAGGTTGTACCACGATTGTACACTGCCATAGGTGGACCGTACCACCAACAGGTTTTACCACTGATGGGCCCGGCCGTACCACGAACGGGTCGCACCACCAATGGGTTGTACCACTAACGGGGGCCGTAGCAGTGGCAGGCTGCGCCACTGATGGGCCGCACCCCTGATGGGCTGTCCCACTGATGGGGACCGTATCATTCTCGGGGTGTATCACCGGACCGTGCCACTGCGCGTACAGTGATGATGGGCTCCCTGCTGGCCGCCACCACGGAGGCGCCGGGCGAGTACTTCTTCTCGGACGGCGTGCGGCTCAAAAAGTACCGTGGCATGGGCTCGCTGGACGCCATGGAGAAGAACCAGGGCAGCCAGAGCCGCTACTTCAGGTGCCGCCAGCGCCACTGCCGCCACCACCATAACCGCCACCACCAATGCCACTACCATCACCGCTGCCATCACCACTGCCGCCATCCCCACCGCCGCGCGGAAAGTGCGGACGTCGTGGAGAGAGAAACACGTCCCTATGCGGGATCTTCGGGAGAAGCAGACCAGAGCACACTGCCAGTCAGAGGCTCGACCTAGCCTGTACAAACCAGCCAATTGGCAGATAGACCTCACGGTAACTCTTAACGGAGCCGGGGAAGGCTTGTCAAGGCCAGGGGAAGGCTCGTGGAGGATGGGGAGAAGCTTATGAAGGGCTGTGGGAACCTCATGAAGGTTAAGGAAGTCTCATGAAGGCTCATGTATGCATGTTGAACTTCTTTCGCCACCGAATTTTGCCAACCGTCCTAATTGGTTGGCTACCTACGGAGAAGGCTGAGAAGGCTCATAAAGGGCAGGCATGGGTTGTGAAGGGCCAGGGAAGCCCTTGAAGGCTGTGGACACTACCCGGAGTGAGACGTCGCTGGCTGCCGTTTGTTTCATAGCGAGAACGACAAGATGAAGGTGGCGCAGGGCGTGTCGGGCTCCGTGCAGGACAAGGGCTCGGTGCAGCGTTTCGTGCCGTACCTCATCGCCGGCATGCAGCACGGCTGCCAGGACATCGGCGCCAAGTCGCTCTCCATCCTCCGGCACGGCGTGACCCCCGCGCACACCCACGCCAAACATGCGGCACTACCACTGCCGCCACCACCACCACCACAGTCACACAATCATTGCTACCGCCAAACAAAGACCGCCCAGTATGGCCTTCGTGAGCAACAATGCAGGCCGTCACGGCACACGAGGGGGTGGGTGGCCAGCACCATGCCGGCCACCTTTATCTCCCGAGTGGTGATGTTTACACACTGCACCAGGTACTCATTTGAGGCAGAGTTGACCTAGGGGAGACCCAGGACCGGCTCAGATAATCATCACTGGTGTTGACCGTGAACAGGAATCTAACCCGGGTCTCTAGGTCCGTAGCATAGCGCGCTAACCGCTGCACTACCGCCCCTTACACTGTTATTGCCACCACCGCCATGACCACTGCCATTACCATCATCATCATTGCCACCACGACTGCTGCCTCCACCATTGCCGCCACAACCGCCACCGCCGTCGCCACCACCGCACTGCTGCGTTGCGGCGTCGAGGCTGTGGCGAGAGTCGGCCGAGCCCTGCTGACGAGCCGCTTGTCTCTGGTGCCGTCGCAGGTCCATGATGTACACGGGGGAGCTCAAGTTCGAGAAGCGGACCATGTCTGCGCAGGTGGAGGGCGGCGTGCACGGCCTGCACTCGTGAGTGGGCCACTGCACACACGCACACACGCACGCATGCAGACACACGCACGCAGACACGCACGCAGACACGCACACACGTTCACACGCAGACACTAAAAAAAGATCAAGACCCCCCCCATAGCCTTTAACAGACTGTTGGGGCTAGTGCTGTTCGCAAACACCGATGAAGGCCGACACTGCTGATCAGCACCACGCCCGTTCGTGGTGCGGGCGTCGTGCTGATCACACCATTTGCTCATTTAAGACTGAGTTGACTTAGGCGAGGTTCAAGACTGGTTTCTGGTAATCGTCACTGATGTTGATCCTGAGCCGGAATCAAATTCCGGTTTCCTAGTTCGTAGCATAGTGCGCTAACCACCGCACCACCGCTCCCTACACACGTACACATCTGTATAGACACACACGACCGCCATTCGCCACCAAGCGGCGGTGATGTCACCACGGCACTTGTGCCAGGTTACATTCACTTTGAGGCCACGTGAAGTGATGCAGACTCACTGCCAGGAGGTCACAAGACAGACCCTGGGGTTATGAATTGACTGACAAAAAAAATAGCAGCCCCATCTGTGCTCCCCCACTGTACCACCTCCAGTGAGCGTCGCTCAAACACACGAACACACGTACACAAGCACACACGCACACGCACGCACACACACACACACCTGGTACATTCTGACACTGAATTATAAACTCTCCTACACACACACGTACACACACCCACGCTAATCTCTCCCACGCGCATGCCGGGTCCTGGCGTGCCGCTACGAACCGCATCTCCCACAACGTTACGGTCGCTCACCTTCGCGCACGTCATCGCATGTGTACGTGCCTGCCTGCCTGCGTGCGTGCTTGCGTGTCCGTGCTTGCGTGTGCGCGTGTCTTGCCAATCCAGGCCACGCGTGTTTTTCTGCGCACGGCTTACAGGGAAACGCGGTCTGTACACACAAGTCACTCGTAGACACGCGCCGAGGATGCTGTGTGTCCTGGGCTCTGCACTGATTTGTGTTTTGATTAACAAAACAAGCTTTAATCTAGATTTGAATCTAGATTTTAAGTTTTCGTGTCTGCGGGGATCCATACTCTTTGGTTCTTTCGGTAAAGTAGCGACACCGCCGCAGTGATGTAGCAGAACAGGGTTCGCCAAACTCTTGACATCCACCAACTTTCTCCGTTGAAATGCAACCACAGGTCATGAATACGCTGCACCCACCTGACGATTGGTAAACATGTCCCATAGGGTGTAGAGCACTGATTCAAATGGCAATCCTTGCTTGATTTGAAGCGGAACTGCCTACGTCACCGTGGGACGACATGCGCGTATGCACACGCACTCCCATGTAGACGCACTCCCATGTGCACACACAACGGCAGCTGCTAAGTGGTGGTGGTGTCTCCACAGTGCTCGCGCCAGGATAGGTGCCCTTTGAAGCCAAAGTGGCAGGATAGGTGTAAAAGGCTCGCTCTCAGGTCAATAGCACTTCCATCTGTCACAGGACAGATGTGCCGGTGTTCTTGCTTAACTGACCGAGTTGGCCGGCGGCAGATGCACCACCTGTGTTCCCCACTGTCCCGTGTGGCCATGAACAAACTGTTGGGGGTAAGTGCTGTTTACGAGCACCTGTGAAGACTGGCACGGTACACAAGATGGGGGGTGGGTGACCAACACTGTACCCAGCCATCTTTGTCTCCCCAGTGTTGATGTTTACATACTGCACCAGGTACAAATGTAAGGCTGAGTCGACCCATGGTGAGGTCCAGTACCGGTTCAAATATTAAACTGTTATTGGCCGTGAGCGTAAATCGTACTCTATACAAGCGCCCATATCTACACACACACACACGGGACCTCCCATCTTAATTCGAATTCACATTTTCTGCTTTCACCCGGGATCTTGAATTCCTATTCCGATCATCAGGGTACGCGCGGCACTCGTAACGACTGCTATTTAGATGAAGAAGGCCCTAAACGTTGGGGGAGGTGCGCGTGCGCTGCGGTTGGGACGCGAGGACGGGGACCTTTTTCAGGCCCCGCGTTAGAAAGCACATCCGCCGCCACCACACCGCAGTGGCAGTCACCGGAGCCCACGTCCGCTAGGGGGCCTGGAACACGCGGCCTTAGAGTGCAGGTGTGCAAGACAAGAGCCCGTCGGGCTGGAAGGAAGACGCAAACGAGGCGGCGACTTTGAAGGCGGCGTGCGTGTGGGAGTGGCCGTTTGTGGGTTCCGGTCGTTTTGAGTCGCGCATCTGACCAGACTTCTCTCTTTCTCCGTCTCTCTCTCTCCCTGTCTTGTCTCCTGTCTGTCCTCTCTCTGTCTTTCCGCATCGCTTGTGCATGGCCCTCAGATACACGTTCGTACCATGTGAGTACCGCTCAAGTACCGCGCCTCGTGGTGTTGTTTGGTCGGCTGGGGGGAATTGGGGGGCAGGAGGGGGGGTTACGGGGGGGGAGACGGTCACGCACGTTTTGGGGGGCGGGAGTGGGGGCCCGGCGCTCGTTCGCAAGAGTTTTTTTTCCCCCGCTCACGAAAAAACTTTGTGAAGCTGCTCAATTTCGTTTCGTATTCATTTGCCACCACTTTTTTTTTTAAACCATTGTTTTCTACGTTTTCTTTTTTTCACCCTCGAGTCGCGTTGAGAATACACGGAAGTGAATTTGTCGCACCGCTCCCCCCCCTTACCCCGGGGGGATGAAATCTACTCTGCGCACTGTCGGCCGCGATTCCCCCCCCCTCCCCCAATCTTCTGCTAAAGCACTCCCATGCCGGGCAGCGCACGCCACTCCCCCCCTTCCTCCACACCGTGAGCCGCGATCGTGGTTACAGAGGTAACACCGCTCGCCGGTAACGGAGTAACGCCGATCGGTCTCCGGCAACTTGGCGAGCGTTTGCACCGGCGGGGGGCTGGCACACGTTGACCGCAGTGGCCTTCCCTCCCCCCCCCCCCCAAGTCCCTACTGCCATGCCGCTAACATCACAGGAAAACTGTGCAATCCCGCAGGACTGCCAGAAAATTCCATAATTACTTTGTTTAATATTTTAATTAATCAACAATAACCGCATAGAGGGGAGAATGGTAGGGTTAGGGGAGAAAGTAACAGCAGAGGTGAACAAACGAGAATGAAAAAACCAATGAAGAGTTTCCCAGCAGTGGCAGCTGGTAAGAATTCCACTGTCTTAGAGTCACGTGGGAGCAACCTGCACCTCCGGTTAGCACGGTTGGCTCCGTAACGGTGCGAAAGAAGTTCAACATACATACAAACCAATTTAACTGAGAGCAAAGTAACTTGAAGGGGTCTCTTAAGTAGTTCTATGAAGCAGTTTCTGAACCCCAGCGGTCACGACCGCACCCACGGTTCGGCTTTCCTCGATTACCGACCAATCGGGTGCATGGAAGGGTTGGCAGGACCGCAGTTGAGAAACGCCGCTCTTGCACACGTGGGGTGGAGCAAGGGGCCATCTATTGTGTAGGTACGCAATAATCTGTCAAAACCTGACACCTCCCCACCTCCCTGTACGCACGCGGACTTTTTACCCCCCCACCCCCACCTGCGTACATACACCTGACGCACCCCCCCCCCCCCCCCCCCCCGAATCCTATAGAACGGCCGATATTTAATCCACGCAGAAACGATCAAGGATGGATAATATTAACGTGTTTAAGCAAATAGATAGTCCACCGCTGAACTATCTAACTAATTTGAAGGCCAATGTAGACTAATTATTATCGAGGCTTCAACACCCCCCCCCCCCGTTTCCTATGCGTACATTGTCAGTAGACCCCCCATATGCAAGCGTATGCATTTGGGTTAACCCCCCCCTCCATGCGTACGTACTAAATGGATGGCCCCCAACTCCGGCCCATCGCCAACGGGGTTCCTGGAATAAAACTGGACTTGAAAAATAGATTTAAAACTGGACTTGAAAAATAGATTTTCTTTATTCGAAAACATTTAACACTTTCCCATTCCAAGATGTTTCCCAATCTCGGAAAACGCAAGCAGCTCAATGTTAATTTTATTTAGAGAGGCATAGCACCATTTTTTTTAAGACATTGTGCCCATCGCAGAGAACTATAGCGACACGACAGCACTCTATGATAGCTGGTGCCAAACTGTGCCACACGCCCTCCCATATGGTTTTGTGGGAGCCTCGGTACCAATAAAGTTTTTTTTTTCTTCTGATTTTGTTCCGATAACACGGAAGTATGTATACCGGAATAAAACCGGAAGAGAAACGGATTACGTACACGTACGTCATCAGTACGGAAAAGGGTTATCCATAATAGAGGTTTTTGGGTTAGATTGTGTAAATATGTACAACTAGCTTCATCAGGCAACAGCCAGATATGTCACAAATCTTGCTGTCGCCTGATGAAGCTAGTTGTCATTACTGGCGAAACGTCGTACTCAGATTGTAAATGTTGTGGCTTGGCTCTCCAACACAGCGGTGTGCTGTACTAGTGACGAATTGGCCACGTTCTGTTTACGTGACAACCCTTACTAGTTGGCTGTGTCGGGTGGTGGCGGGTTTTAACGACACATTTATATATTTACGTGATCTAACCCAGAAAATCTCTATTATGGATGATATTGCTCGTGAAAGCCCACGTGGAAAAGGGTTAATTCATATATTTTTTTAAATTAATGTTTGCTTACCTGCCAGCCCATGGGATTTGTGCACAGTGTGGTTGCCCCTGGGTGCTGTCGCTCCCATGCTATGGTCGCACTTAATCGTATTTTACATCGTCGTCGTCGTCGTTGTTGTTTCCCGTTGGAACTATCTCTTGTGTCTTCCTGACTGTGGACCGCCCATGTCCCCCAATTCCCTTCTCCGTGTCATTCCCCTTCGTGTCCCCCCCCCCCCCATCTCCCGCGCCGTTCAAAGTCACGAAGAACGCTCCTACTGAGGGCAGCGGATGCCCCAGCCGGAGCCGCCAACCCAGCATCACGCCGTGTGCCACCACGCTGCGCTCCTCCGCCTGCTGCAACGGCTGGAACTGAGCCCCGCACCCCCCCCCCCCGCGCCGCCGCCACTGCCGCCCGTCGCGACCGTCGCCCTCATCGTCGCTCCCACCCGGGCAGGGACCATCTGGACGACGGGATCCGCCGTGAGGGAGATGGAGCGGGCGAAGCGAGGGAGGAGACGGGGGTGGGGTGGGGGGGGGCAGTAGCAGACGGTGATCCGCCAGCCGGAGAATGTTTACGCGGTGTAATCGTGCACTGTAAGACGGTAGAGATTATTTTTTATGTTTGTCAGACGTGAGAAAAAAACGACCAAAGGTGAAAGAGAGAGACGATTGTTGTTTTTTACGTGTTTTACTTTGTCCACGCCGGGCCTGGCTAGTCCCCCGGCCCGGTAACCGCGTGCGGAATATCGCCCCGTTCGTTTTTGAGTCTCGCATCAGCAGAACCCACGGCGATAACGGTGACGCGGCAGAGGTCGCGGTTTTTATTGGCCGAGCGCAGCGTCGCCACGGCCGCATGGTCCGAGGGCCAAACCCAGGGCTCTCTGCCACCCCATCCCCTCCCTACCTACCCCTCATGTGGGGGGGGGGGGGACCACCACCCACCCGACCTGGGAGTTCACTCGGGGTGTTTGTTTTGTGAAGCCATTCCAATGTTTTGACGAATGTCACGCGCAGTTTACATTCAGGCCAACGAGTTCGCCGATGGTCCATAGTTTGTAAACTTTTTGTAAAAATTTAACTGGGAAATGTGAAGAAATTGGCCATGAAGGAAATGACCAGAAACTCGAGTCCCGACTTTCTTTATCCACGATGAAGGCAGCGGTGACGTTTCATTCGAGGATCGGCGCCTCCGGTCGTGCTGCCGACTGCCGACTCCCGCCATAGGAATGTGGACTTTCCGCCATCGATTCAGGGCCGAAAAACACGACCATCTGACCCCCATGGGGAGACGCGTGCAGGAGCGGGAGGGGATTTAGACACAGCCCTTTTTAAGTTGTCCTCATGTCGGTATTGGAATTATATGAGCATCTTATCGTTATACTGAACATGTAATCGCCTATGTAATAACAATATCCTTTAGAATCTTACAGAATACTAGAAATATTAACGATATCCTAGAATAATGCAAAAATATTAGAAATGCTATGTTGAATCGTGTAAAATGAATATCCTATAACAGCATTTGGTCCTATGGAGAGACTGGCTCCTGTAATAGTAATGTGGAATTTTTACCATTCGTAGCTGCCAACAGAAACCAACGCTGCCCCACCTCTCGCTGAGCAGGGAGACACTTGAACGGATTTACAGCCTTGCTAATGTATGGGGTTGTGCAAGAATTAAATCAATTTAATGACAAAGATAATATTTTCATGCAGAAAAGGTTATGTAGAATCGCAGTTCATGGTGGTGATGATGATGAAGGTGGGAGTGATGATAATGATCGCGACGATTGCTATTGATCATCGTGGCGGTTATAATGAAGGTGGTCTTGACAATGATAGAAACGATTACAATTGATCAGTGGTGATGATGATAATGGTAGCGATGATTGCTATTCATCATAATGGTGGTAATGATGAAGGTGGTCTTTGAAAATGATCGTGATGATCGCTATCGATCGTAATAGTGGTGATGAAGGTGGTCTTGACAATGATAGCGACGATTGCTATTGAAGCATGCTGGCAGCGGAGCACGGAATGGATAATAATGATGATGCTAGCAGCAATCATCATTTGTGACATTGACGACTACGCCGATGACGACGACGATGATGTAATTGTCAGGCGCCTCCCTCCCTACACTCCTGCACGTAGCACAAACTCTTCTCTCGGGTGCTGTTCGAAGGATTTTGCACAGTGCAGTCCGCAAGTCCGTGTGGAACAATAACTCAACGCCTTCGTTTTACTGTACGCGGTCCCTATTGGTGGCGTGCGTGGCAGCGGGCCCAAGTGACCCTGTTGGATAACGCCCGCGTATGGAAAAGCACAACCATATTCCCAGCTCTGACGTATTCCGATTGCTTGTTGTGATTATTCGTACCGTCTGTGACCGTGTTTGTTTTATAGGAGTCCAGAGCCCACTTGGCTCTCACTCGTGTGTTTTTTTTAGAACCACGAAGCCACGGAACCCACTCGTGTTGTAAGTGCTCGTGAACCACCACCTGCCCAAACGTCGCACCCCCAAAGTGTTAAGTGTCACTTAACTCACCAACCAACCGTTTTTACGTTTTGTTTGTCCTCCGGGAGAGACTTTCCGCCGTCCGGCCGTAGGGATGTGGAATTTCTACCGCTGGCTCGGCGTGGCCGGCCGTCGGGGAACGGAGCAGCGAGGCTGTACGGATTTCATTTTCATTTCGACATTCCTGCAGCGGAGTATCGTCTGCCCTGTTACTACCCACACACCGTTGGATTTCGTGCAATGTGCTACCACTGTTGGTGTTATTATTGTTGTCTTTGTTATTAATTCCAATCGTTAAAGCTGCGTGAAACGATAACCAGTTGTCGGTTCGGTTATATTCGATTACTCTAATAGTTTTACCGCAGAACGACGCCACGTGAAGCTTGTTTGTATACCCACCATTTTTTTGCGTAAAATAATTTTCGTGACGCGGTTTTGCGTAGCGCTGGGATGTGGAAGCCCGCCTTGACAACACTGCAGTTAATGACTTGGCCCAAATGGCGAATCACTTGGCACACGACGACAGTAAATCGACGAACCGTGGTTTACATACGCTCACGATACGTGCGTCAAATTGTGCGAGTTGAGGTAAAACATTCACAATTTATACACTGACATTTTACAAACCCCCAGATGGTTACGGTTAGACGATACCGACTCGGGTTCTTGAATTGACATGAAGTAAAATCGTGACAATTCGTCGAATCGCTGAGAGGTAGTGAATCGTAACATGCCTATAAAGTATTAAATAAAGTTTCACAAGACCGGTTATCTCTGGTCAGACCCCCTTGACTTGCAGTCAAAAGTTGATGAGGTCTATGCCCAGTCAGAGAACAAACAGCCCCATCCTCACTCTGGGATCAATAAAATGACGACCACGGTGTGGGGATCCAATAGTGATTGCCCTATTTGAGAGATTTGGCCCCTGCCATAGGAATGTGGAATTTCCCACCACCATTTTGAGCAGAGAGTCGCTTCCGACTTGAATATAAGTGTAGCCGTTTACCAATTAAACAAACGTTCTTCGAACGCAAATTATTGGAATAATCATGGCAGCCCACGTAATAATAATTATTATTTCTATCCTATCCCAGGCTCGAGGTCCGGGTCTTTGTGTTGCCGAGTTGTTGTGAGCGAGCCGCGTGGTGCCATGCGCGTGGTTCCGTGCGCGTTGGAGCCGTACGCGTGGTTGCCGTGCGCGTTGGTTCCGTGCGCGTTGGTTCCGTGCACGTGGTTCCGTGCGCGTGGTTCCGTGCGCGCGGTGCTCGCGCTGGGACTCTCGGACCGGGCCCTGTTTACAGAGAATGACAAATAAAAGTCACTGCACAATAATAACAAACAAGACCAACATCACCCGTATCGCATTAACAGAGTTTTATGGGGCAAGTGCTGTTAGCGAGTAGCACCTATGAAGGCCTGCACGGCACTTGAGGGAGCTGGTTGTCTTCCCAGTGACGAGGTTCAATGGATCTCGGGGAGGCCCGGAACCGGTTTATATCATCATCACAGGTGATAGCCGTGAGCGGGAATTGAACCCGTGTTGCCCGATTCGTAGCGCAATGTCCTGACCCGCTGTACTATCGCTTCCCACAATAATGACCCCACCACCACGACCATCACCACGTGTCTGTCACAAGTCGTGTCAGTCACTGAAAAACGCATCTTCAAAAAAACCGACGTGAATTGTGTTGCAGGAACATATGTGTATCGTACAGCCCATGACTGGACCGAGCCCCCCTCTGGCAAAAATGGGTGGGGGATTTTAAAACTGACGTATTTTACAACAAAAAAATGTTATTTCTAAGAATGTTAATTTGCAAAACTGCACCGCCGCTGCATAGATGCCAGCACGAGGAGCCACTTGCGATGAGCCGGTGCCAACAATTGCCCAAGCACTGTGACCCTCTACACATTAAGGTGTTATCGGCCAATTAATGTTTACGTGTGAGAGAGAGGCCATGCGTACGAGGGGGAAACACTCCATCCCATACGGACGATATATGTGGAGTCCGCATGTTTTGCTGTACCACCACCTGGCGAACCAGGGCACGGCTCCTCCTCGACACCAACGGGACGGGAGTAGTTTCGCAACGTGTGCGGTGATAGACCCAACCCTCTGCTGTTGCCTCCGCAGCGCTGGGTTAGAGGCAGCCGCGTGCAGCGAGCGTGGCCACCACCACCCGCTTGACCGGCCGTAACCTTTGTCACTCACGAGTAGGTACGGTTTGCAACCCGGACAACACAATGGTCCCATTGTAGCCGGAATCCATGAACTACAATTAAAAGTGAAATAAGTAATATTTAAAAAAAAACGTTTTTAAAACACGCTTTAATGAAATGTACTTAGTAATGGAACAACTCCACGACTCCAGGAAGTGGCCCCGAAGCTTGCCATAACGTATGAGGCCGTGGCCAATTACAGCCAACGTCAGTTGAGCTTGGACAATTAGACCCAAGCCGAAACATAACATATAAAAAATAATGTAAAAAAATAGATTTTTATACATATAATATAGTATTGTCATCAGTATGACATAAGTACACCAAGTTTGTAGTCAATACCACATTGGGAAGTGGGTTAAAATTGAGTGACAATATTTGACGATACGACAACAACGACAGAGTGAGTGTAATAAAAAGGGAAGCCAAGAGGGGACTGAACCAAACGCAGGGGAACTTGTGGTTAGGGGCCTCGGGCGATGGAAGACGTTGAAAAGAAATTTGGGGAAATCCCAGCATGTTCCACTGCTCGCAAGCCGAGCAGAGTACGCCCACTCGGATGCTGAACTCGGGATTCTCGACGAGACGATTGATAAAAACATATTTTTGGTGCGTGCTTGTGGTGACACGCATCCTTATCCGTGAGTTCATTTGTCCCGTCTGCCGGGCCTGAATTGAGCCATCGCATAGTCAGACGATGATAATATAATTAATAGTAATAACAATATACGGCTCTTTGTTAATCCACTGCTGGATGAAGGGCTCGCCACGTCACACCGGTCGTGGCCGTCGTTTGACCATACTTCACCACGCTTTGTAATGCGAGCTGGTGAAGTGGGGTGGGTTGGTCGAGGCGTGGGGGGGGGGGCAAGAATCAGTTCCGATTTCGCTGATTTATTTCACCCATATTTTGGTTTCCACGAATCTACCCCCCCCTCCCCCCCGGTCTGCTTGGTGTCCTGCGCTTTTGCTCGGTTTGCTTCTGCCCCCCCCCCCCCCACGGCTGGGGACCAGCGACCACCGGGTGGTGGGGGGGCCTTGGCCCGGTTCCCCGGATACCTCTGGGTCTGGATTGCTCGTGATGAGGAATGTCCCTTCGAGTCACGGATGCCAAGGAGAGGAATGGGGGTCATCCATTCTCCTCGCCACGGCGAGGTTCTGGGGGAGGGTTCGGGTGGCACCTGTGGCCGAGTGTCAGCGTCTGACGTTCACGACACCACCACCCCAGCACCCAGACACACGGAGGGGAATGCCAATGGGTGGGTGGCGTGTGTGGGTGGCGTTTGAGGATGGGTGTTGTAGAATGGGGGATTGGAGGGTGCATGGGTGACGGTGGGTGCTTGCTGCTGTGAGGGGGTGACTGAGAGAATGGGTACTCTTTGGGAGCGAGTTGGGTGTTGGTGGATGTAGTGGGTGGGCGATGGGTGGGTGTCGCGAGCGAATGTTGGGTAATGCGAGTGGGTGGGTGCTAGGGAGATGAGTGGTGAGTGCAAGGTAGTTAACGTCTCGTGGTGGCGAGATGTTTACTACCTCGCCTGGTATGCAGTAGGTTCTGGGTTCGATCCCGACCCTCACGCCTGCTGTATATTTGGAGTTTGCGTGTCCCTCTTTCCCCATGGTCGTGTGCATTTTTCTGTGGGTTCGCCGGTTTTTTCCTGCACATTTAGAAACATGCATTTAGAGTATTTGGCTGCTATAAATTTCCAACGTGATAAGCCGCTTTGTTGAGCGATCATTTGTGGCCAGGTCCCTTTTTAAAAAAAACTATATAGCTCGGTGGGCCTTACCTTGTGTAAAAAAAAAGTTTAGTTTAGATGATGGGTACCCACTGGGTCCGTGCCACGGTGGGTGCCCTAGGACTGCTCCTGCTGCCACCACATCCCTCCCTCCACCTCTTTCCCTCCCAACTGCTGCCCTCCCTCCCTCGTCTCTCAGTGCCGAGTGTCCCGCAAGTGTAACTCGAGAGTCCTGCCAGCATCCACTGGAAAAGGGCTGCGGGCTCCTGGCCTGTGCCGAGAGAGAGGCTCGAGTAGGTATATAGTTTGGGATTTAAACGGCGTATTGTGGTTTATAGGGTTTAGGGCTTGTAGGGTTTAGTATTTTATGTTTTTTATTTAGTATTTTAGGGTTACGTGATTACAGCCATTATGGGTGTTTAGGGATTCGTGATTTGAAGATTGAGATATTAAAGGTTTATAATATTTATGATTCAAGGTGTGTAGGGGTTTCGTGGGTATTGGGCATTTAGCTTTAGGGGTTGAAGTCTTTTTAGGTTTTATGGTTTTTAGGGTATACAGGGTGGTAAGTTATAGGATATCGGTTTGTTTATTGGCGTATATAAATATATAGGGTTTGGACTTTGTATATATAGCTTAGTGCTTATACTTTTATGGTTTAGGATTCTATATGGTTATTGTGTACAGGTTAGTTGGGGTTATTTCTATCAGAGCTATGGGATTAGGGTTGTGTATATCGGGTTAGAGTGTATATGGCTGGATTATATGGTTGTTTATGGGATTAGTTTTTTATTAGGAGTGTGTTTACGGCTAGGGATATAGGATTCGTATGTATAGGGCAAGGGCGATGCGGTAGGCGTGCATCAGGTATCGTTTTTATAGAGTTGGTGTCTATGGGGTATTTTGTCTATAGTTCTATGGCTATAGGGTTAGTGAGCATAGGGTTGGTTACGTACGGTGCAAAATACAAATTTAACATAGGACTAGGGCTACAGGGTATTGGTTCTATTGCACCAGGGTTTTAGGGTTTTGTGTCTAGGACTAGGGCTGTAAGATATTGGTTCTATAGGACTAAGGCCAGGGGGTATTGTGTCTATAGGGCTAGTGTTATAGGGTATTGTTTCTGGCTGTGGAGATCACGCGGAGTCGCGCTGCCCGTGAGTGAATGCGGTAACGCGCACTCACTGCAGCAGCGGCGGCAGCGGCCGCGCTCACGCGCGCGCACGTTTCACTCCCAACACGCACCATCCTCCCATCGCACACACCATCATCCCATCACACACACCATCATATCACACACACCATCCTCCCATCGCACACACCATCCTCCCATCACACACACCATCCTCCCATCACACACACCATCATCCCATCACACACACCATATCACACACACACCATCATCCCATCACACACACCATCATCCCATCACACACACCATCATTCCATCACACACCATCATCCCATCACACTCACCATCCTCCCATCACACACACTAAACTCCCATCATACACACACCATCCTGCCATCACACACACCATCCTCCCATCATCACGCAACATCCGCATCAACAACACCTCATCTCGTGCGCGTCTGATGTGATGACGACGATGTCGAAGCGGAGGATGGTGATGATGAGGAGGTGGAGCGACGTGAAGATTTGACATCGAGGGGGGGGGGGGGGGGGGGGGGGGGTTGGCGGGCGGGGTTGGAACGCGCGGTGCGGACTCTGAATTCCGGAGAGAGGAGGGAGCAGAAGGGCAGAGGCGAGCCCTGGGGAGCAAGTGGTGGAAGCAGGTAGAGCAACGCGCTGGTGCTGGGAGACGGGAGCAGACTCGGTGGGGGGGGGGGGGGGAGTCAAGCGGAGCCGGTGGCGGTCGTGAGCTGCCCAGGGGTTCCAGCCACGGGGCCGAGGAGAAGACTTCCAGGAGGAGAGCCTCGCACTCTGGAGGGAGGGAGAGCCTTGGGACGGCGCCGGTGGGAGGCTGGGGGAGCAGGTGGGAACCGTGGCGTGCTGATGATGTGTGGGTAATGGCACGCGCGCCTGCGTGCGTGAGGAGTGTGCGTGGGGGGGGATTTGTCGGAGTGGGTGGAATGTGATTGTTTCAATGCAAGGCGAGCGGGGCATGGGTTCGGAGCAGACGAATACGAACAATTAACGCCGCTGTAATTGTAATAACGTCAGCAAGCAGCCGTGGGCTATCAACTGCTGGATGAAGTCCTCCGCTCGTCGCTGTCATCGTGGCTCACGGGTGGTGGGTGTGTTGCGATGCCACCGGGGGTCTCACGCCTGCACGCGCGCTGGTGGCCTCGAGCTCCATCTCCTTGCGGGATGTCCTCTCGCGCGCGTTCCGCTCCTGTCGGCTGCTATTCCATCACCGGTCTCGTTCGCCATCGGCTGTCCTCCCGTCTCGCCGTGTCCCGTCCTGCCCGAGCCACGCTCACCACTTTTCTTGACTGTCAATCGTGATCTCTCCGACTTGTCTTTGTACATCGATCTATTTGTCGTGATTAGAATCGTACTTTTGCTTATAATGTGTGGATATACTCGGCCCCGTCGCGAGAATGGGGAATTGTAGCCAGGTGTCTCAGGCCCACCAAATAGAGATGGTTGCTTGTTTGTTTGTAGAGGCCCTGACACGGCTATCAGTAATTACATTGCAAAGCATTCACCGACCCGCATTGACCAGTGTAGTGAAGTATAGTCAAGCAACCACCATGACTGACGCAGCGTGGTGAGGCATTCATCCAGCAGTGGATTGACAAAGGAGATGTACATTTTGATCATTATGTAAATTTTACTTGTTGATATAATCGAGGCGTTGAGCGATTAATTTAATTGGAGGAGGGAATCTGTGTGGTCGCTAAGCGGGAGTGAGTTTTAGACCGTGGGAGCAGACGGGGTAGGAGTGATCTCCCTATTCTCATTGTAAACTATTTTATAGATATGGTCATGGTTTTCATCTAGCAGTGGAGACACCGTGGTAATGATGATTATGATGAAAGAGCATGGAGAGAGGGGCATGTGTGGAATTACACCGAGATACAGGGTTAGAGAACATACGCAAGTTACAGACATCGAAATTATTTCATCCAGCAGTGGATAGACCATATTAATGATGATGATAATAATAGCATGGAGTGTTTGGAATTAAACTCGGAGACAGAGCGAGGAACGCGTACGCAGGTTAGAGACGGCATCATCACCATCATCATCATCACCATCATCATCACCATCATCATCACCACCATCATCACCATCATCACCATCATTATCACCACCACCATCACGCGGACTGTTGAGAAAATCGAGTGGTGGGCATGCGCAGTGACCACGTGGTGGCCAGAGGGTGGACAAGGGGCGGGTGGCCCCCCGATGGAGGAGCCTGGTGACGGAACGGCGGCCAGAGGAGGGGAAACGCGGCCCCAGAGGGTTGACCGCGGCGGAGACGGAGCGACGAGATGGGTTCGTGTGCGCGGCGCTTAGGTGGACGGTGAGGGATGATGGCGACAGCGTGGAGGCCTTCGTCCAGCGGTGGGATATCTCGTGGCCCGTAAAAAATAAAAATACATGACCGTTAACAGTGCGTCACGTAGGAGTAAGTCAAGGGGTGTGCATTGGTGACATTGCTATAGTCGCGTGGACCGCAAGCATGCACACGATGGCCTTCCGTCTCTTGTGAATGGCGCTATGGTCCTCTCTGTTGCTCTTCTACCGTCCGGTCGCAAACTTAAAAAATCGTCGCCCATCGCCCGGGACTCTCACGTGGCACCGCTGGCCACGCGGTGCACGCGCCGCGTGCGTCGGTCAGGCGCCGTCGTCATCCCGTCGCCACGGCAACCGTCGCCACGGCGACCAGTGCACGTTGGCAACCGCTTGCTCCGTTGTTAGGTAACGCGTGTGAGTGATGGAGTCGGCGTGTGAGTGAATGGCGGTGGATGGTGCTGTGTGAGCGGTGGTGCAGCGGTTAGGGCGCTGCGCTACGAACCCGGCGACCTGGGTTTGGTGACCGTGAGCGGTCAAGAGCAGTGACGATTACCTGAACCGGTCTTGGGTCTGCCGTTTGTCGATTCAGCCTCAAATGAGTACCTGGTGCGGTGTAGTAAACATCGCCACTAGTGGAGACAAAGGCGGCCGAGTGTGGTGCTGGCCACCCACCCCCTCGTGTGCCTTGGCGGCCTTCATTGGTACTCTGTTATCAGCATTTGCCCCAACAGTCTGTCAAAGCTATAGAGGGATCTTTGGTGTTGGCGAGGGTCTGGGTGATGGGGGTCACGATGTAGGTGAGCGGGGTGGTTTGCACACTGCTCCATGCACCTGGCTACCCAAGTTCAATTCCCGCTCACGACCACAGTGGCGAATATCTGAACCAGTTCCTGGGCCTCACCTCTATCTGGTGCGGTGCATACAAAAATCATCACTGGAGATACGAAGGCGTTCGGGCGTGGCATTGTCCACCTGACACTATTGCATGCTACTCGGTTAGCGCGGCTCGCTACGTACGGTGCGAAAGAAGTTCAACATACATGCGTCCCCACTCGTTAGCAGCAGCAGCAAGCAGTCTGTCTTATTCTTAGCTCTTTCGGTAAAGTCACGTTGAAGGGAAACAACAAAATAATAATATATATAAAACAATAAAAATTCTCACGACGTTTCGACCATAACACAAACGGTCGTCATCAGGTGTGTCGGTTTGCATAAATTTATTTTTAAACGGTGTATTTATTTATAAAAAAAAACGTCAGCGCCACGCGCAGCGAATTGGCAGTTTATTTAGAAGGACGAGTCCATCTATGTTCTGAAAAGAGGAGGGGGGAGACGAAAAATTAATGTATGCTGTCTGAAAGCCACTGTAAGCGTGAACAATCAATTAAGACCTGAAATGGTTTATCAAATCTTTCCAATGATTGCTAAGCCAGAATCCATCTTCTCGGTTGAAATTGTCTCTGTGCTTGTATATGTGATAGCCTCATGAACGAATCTCTCATGGTAGCCAGATGGCTTACAAAGAACCTCTGTCTTGGAAAAGTCAATGTCATGTGAGCCTACTGAATTATAACAATGATCTGCCACGGCCGAGGTGTTGGTCCTACCGTGTTTAAGGTCTGCTTTGTGTTCACGAATGCGGTCCGAGACATGGCGTTTGGTTTCTCCAATGTAACTACTACCACAGAGGCAACTTAGTTTGTAGACACCAGGGTACTGTATGTCCGGAATCACATATTTTACAGACGGAACCAGATCACGGATTTTATGTAATGTGTTGAAACGGACCTGGATCTTGTGTTTATTCAAGATTTTGGATATCTTTTTTGTGATCCCCGCAATGTAGGGTAAAGTGATGGTTTTGAAAGGCTCCTCAAGAGGGTCCTTCTTCATGGTTTGAGTGATAGCTTTGCGGATTGTATAGTCGGAGTAACCATTAGCCTTAAGAGCTTGGTGTACGTGCTTGAGTTCACTGCCTATGTGTTCCTGGTCGGATATGCATTGGGCTCTATGATACAGAGTCTTGATGAGAGAATTCTTCTGTGATGGATGGTGGTGGGAATCCGGTTTCAGATAAGCATCCGTATGGGTAGCTTTCCTGTATACAGAGTGGCTCATTGAACCATCAGGTCTCTTTTTAATTAGGACATCCAAAAAAGGTAGCTTGCCATCTTTTTCGACTTCCCTGGTAAATCTGATGACTGGGTGTATGGAATTGATGTGGTCTAAGAATTGGTCTAGAGCAGGCCGGCCATGTGGCCAGATGACAAAAGTGTCATCCACGTACCTCTTCCATAAGGTTGGGCGCAGAGTGGCAGTCTGGATGGCGTCAGTCTCAAATTTCTCCATGAAAATGTTAGTTATAACTGGAGATAGGGGGGAGCCCATTGGGGTGCCCTCAGTTTGTTTGTAGAAAGTTCCATTCCAAGTGAAGTATGTATTGGTTAAACAGTGTCTCAGCAGGGGGGGTACCTCAGTGTTTAGTCCTTGATGAACCAAGTCTTCAATGATTGCGATGGTGTCAGGTACAGGAACCTTGGTGAATAAGGAAACTACATCAAAACTGACAAGCAGGTCGTCTGGGGACAGGGAAATACCCTTGATTGTCGATACCAGGTGAGTAGAATTTTGTACCGCAGAGGTGGTTTTTCCAGTGAAAGGACGCAGGATTTCAGCCAAAAAACGAGCTAGTTTGTAGGTGGGGGAGTTGATAGTAGAGACGATGGGACGAAGGGGTGTATCTACTTTATGTATTTTTGGTAAGCCGTATAATCTTGGTGGCCTGGCAGCAGAAGGTTTCAACGAAAACTGTTTAGATTGATCAATTAATGCGGTTGAATCAGAAATTATTTTGTTGGTTTGTGTGACGAGGCTGTTGGTGGGATCTCTTTTTATTTTTGTATAACTACCATCGTCGAGTAATTCTTTAATTTTGTTGTTGTATTCTATTTTATCCATGATGACAGTAGCATTGCCCTTGTCAGCTGAGAGGACTACAATATCATCCCTCTTTTTTAATTTATATAATTCAAAACGCTCATCTTTGCTGAGGTTGCTAGCTGGCATCTTAGCGTTTTGAGGGTTGCAGCGATTTCAGATCTTGCTACGTCTGCAGCGATGTGACCCAGGCCCCTGAGAGCAACGTCTACTTGGGCAATTATATCATTAACTGGTATGTGTTTAGGTGTGACTGCAGAGTTTAGAACTTTAGCTAAAACGGATTTCAGACCATCGGAAATAGAACTGTTACTGCGATTAATTACGACTTTGTTAACGTCTAACTTTTTGGTGTGTGGGTCTGGTCTTTTGTTGAAGAGGAGGTTAAATTTGGAAATCAGGTTGTCCTTACATTTGGTCGACATAGTAGCGGCTGAAGAGGCAGTCATATTGTCTACATGTTCCCAATCCGATGTGGACATTGTTGCCGTCAATGATAAGTGTGATTTGTAGAGTGTCTTGTCTAACTGATCTAGTTCGGTACGTATAAGTCTGATTTTTTCTGAGATAAGA